TTCCAGCAATATCACAGCGGGGGACACCAGAAATGGGCTTCACACATTGTACCCATGTTGGGAATCGAACCCGGGTCTTCGGCGTGATGAGCGAATGCTTTAACCACCAGGCTACCCGACTGCCCCCAAAGATTGAGTGAGTGACTAGACATTGTCACATACATCTTGAGCCATGCGTCAATATACTCCGTCCTTAATACTTCACAGGTTTGTATACACTATACATGTTCCTTCATCACCCATGGAGACATACAACCACTTTTGAGGCGTAGTAGTAATATGTTTTTAGTCAACTAATGAAATGAGGCCGTTAAAATCCACAAAGTCCAATGAGTAACTATGACCTCTATGTGAACCCTATCATTTCCTGATACTGAAACAATGTGTAGAGAAGATGACAGCAAGGCTGTGGCATGCTGCACAAGAGTGAGTGAGTGAGTATGGTTTTACGCCGCTTTTAGCAATATTCCAGCAATATCACGGCGGGGGACACCAGAAATGGGCTTCACACATTGTGCCCATGTCGGGAATCGAACCCGGGTCTTCGGCATGACGAGCGAACGCTTTAACCACTAGGCTACCCGACCGCCCCTGCTGCACAAGAAATATAGGGGGCACGGGTGGCCCAGTCGTCTTAGGCGCCGCGATTCGCTGTGCAGAGTCGCGTCCCTTTGGCACGACAGAAACCTTTGATTGTGGGTTCGAATCCCGGTTCGCCCGATTATGTTTCTAGGTTTGTCAGCACCATACCCGTGCTCGTGCGTTTCACCGAAGTGGTAAACGTCTGAGACCTGCATCACTTCGGGCTTTCCTCCCACATTCAGCTGACACGCCGCCATATAACTGGAATACTGTTAAAAGCAGCGTTAAACCCAACTGACTCACTCACTTACTGCCCTTTGTGCTAATAACAGCCAGCTTCTCTCTAGCAGCAACCAGCCTGTGGTTTTATGCTTTGGATAAAAGTAACAATTCCACTGCAAGGCAGTCCTATGTGATCATAGTGCTGGAGTGAGTGAGTGAGTGAGTGAGTATGGTTTTACGCCGCTTTTAGCAATATTCCAGCAACATCACGGCGGGGGACACCAGAAATGGGCTTCACACATTGTACCCATGTCGGGATTCGAACCTGGGTCTTCGGCGTGACGAGCGAACGCTTTAACCACTAGGCTACCTGACCGCCCCCATAGTGCTGGAGGAATGCATGAGTACAAATCCATCAAGTATTGACAATTAGCAAATTTGGTTTACCGCCACTTTGAACAGTATTACAGTTACATCACATCAGCTTACTGTGGGAGGAAGGCCCGTAATGACGTAGGTCTTTGACGTTGAAGAATATTAATTTTGTGGTCATTTAGTTTTTTGGCAAATTTTGCACAAATAAACACTTTCATGATCACATCAGCATGTGAAAAGTGTCAGCGACCAAGAATTATTAATCGGACTTGAATCCACAATATTCGGATCCTGGGACAGCTAAGGGAGACAATCTTTGGACCACATCAACACCCATGCTGAGAAACCCTGGGATGAAAAGACCAATGAGGAACCACAATTCTGCTGTTGACTAAATGGTCAGAAATAATGAGCCTTTTTCACAAATCGAACATATGGTTTAACTTCCAATGTATGATGAGAATACAACCATGAGTTTGTTGTCCAATAAATGATTGATAGTATCCTTGGCTATTTACAAATCAAAAATATGGATTCACATGAAAGTGATGGATATTGTTTCATCAACCATGATTTACAAATTGTATGTACATACAAAATTAACGATAACATTTGATAATGACATGTTGATATCGTACAGGCATTTATAACATAAAACATACAGCTAAAAAGTGACGTCTGTGACATCGTAGCTATGTACACCTTCACTATTATAATCCAACATCTACAGGTTGTTTTTACATATCAGGGTGGTGGCAGTCAGGTAGCCTAGTGGTTAAAGCCCTCGCTCATCACGCCAAAGACCCAGGTTTGATTCCCGACGTGGGTACAATGTGTCAAGCCCATTTCTGGTGTTCCCACCATGATATTGCTGGAATATTTCTAAAAGCGGCGTAAAACCTCACTCACTCACTCACACATCAGGGTGATAAATGCGTGTGATCCTCACAATAACGATGTTGGAATCTGTTAGAGGAAGGTCAGGAATACCTGTTTAGAGCTGTTTGTTATCATGACAATACACATCATAGCAATGTCAGATTCATCGCTTCTTCAATACTTCTCAGGCTTGTATATATGCTGTGTTCCCCCATCACCTGTGAATACATAGGGCGGGCTGATATGTGGTGTGGTGACATTTTAGTCAAGTAATGGATGGCCGTGTGGAACTCATGGAAGTCAAAGAGCCTTCACTTTTCATGAATCTTGTGCCAACCCTACCGTTGCCCGACATTAAAGCAATCGGTCTAATTCATCTCTGTCTTGTAGAAATTCACAGACTTACAAATTCAAATTTGTAAGGATAAGTCCAAAGGACTTGTGTGAACCTATTTCACTAGACCTCAGGGTTATAGCTTGTCCTGCTTGAATGAAAGAAAATTTACTATGTTTACAAATTCTGTCAGTTTTATTCAGTGCCAATTGGTAGCAAATTAAAGCATTGAGGACTGGTTCAGATCATGGCCCTCAAATGCTACAAGTCAATGGCGACTACCATTTTTGGATTTTGCTTGTCCTCAGCACAATTTAGTAGTCTCAGGTTAGCAGACCAGCGTGAATTTTGAAGGCTTAATTCACAGTTGTTTGAAGCAGCAATCAGCTGTATCAAAGCACAGGAACACTGAGTCAAGGCAGGTGAACCAGTGGTTGACAGCATGATCAGCGACTGACGTTGCTGGGTGCAGTGACACAGTGCGACCACAGGCTCCTCATCAGTAGGCGTAGCTACATTCTTGATTATCCGGTTGACCCAATCGCCAAGTTCGCCTGGCATCTGGATCGAGTGACACAATGCTAAAAATAGACGTCTTGTATAAGGATTCCCACACCCTTTTTTAGTTCTCAAAAAACCTCTTTTCCAGCTCCTGATTCAATTAACACACAAGCTCACTGAGACATGGCTGTGATTTTGAATGAGAAGCGGTGTTCAATTCCAAAGAGACATTTGGACTGACAGTTGATTTCCAGTTCATGAAGAGCGGTGAAGTGGCCTAGTGGTTAAAGCGTTCGCTTGTCACACCAAAGACCCGGGATCGATTCCCCACATGGGTACAATGTGTGAAGCCAATTTCTGGTGTCCCCCGCCGTGACATTGCTGGAAGACCCGTGAAGATCCAGGGTAGAATAGGTCTTCAGCAACCCATACTTGTCGTAAAAGGAGACTAACGGGATCGGGTGGTCAGGCCTGCTGACTTGGTTGATACATGTCATCGATCCCAATTGCGTGGATTGATGCTCATGCTGTCAATCACTGGATTGTCTGGTCCAGACTCGATTATTTACAGACCACCGTCATATAGCTGGAACATTGCTGAGTGCGGCTTTAAACAACAAACCAACCAACCACTGCTGGAATATTGATCAAAGTGGCGTAAAACCATACTCACTCCAGCTCATGAAGAAAAGACATTCTGTACAAAGTTAGTGGTAAGAGTGAGTGAGTGAGTGAGTGAGTTGGGTTTAACGCCGCTTTTAACATTATTCCAGTTATATCGCGGCGTGTCAGCTTAATGTGGGAGGAAAGCCCGAAGTGATGCAGGTCTCAGACGTTTACCACTTCGGTGAAACCCACGAGCTCGGGTATGGTGCTGACAAACCTAGAAACATAATTGGGGCGAACCGGGATTCGAACCCACAATCAGGGTATTTATCAGGATTAGGAGATATATTCACTGGATTATCGAAGAAGTACTAAGAAGTGTTTCTGACAATGAATCCCAAGGTGACTCCAAACAGAAAACATATATATCTATCAAACGTACATTAAAAACAATAAATAGCCAATCACAAAAGACTGTGCATACATAATCATATTTGAAGATATCTGAGGTCCTTACAAGGTGAAGGTCACTTGACAGAGATTTGACACTGTAATAATCAATAATACGTCATCATAATTATCATCATGATCATAATTCACATTAACATCATCATACAATGTCTGCATAATATACATGACAACAGTTGTACAACATGAGCATAATCACCATTGTGTAGAGGTACAGGTATTGCATAATGACGATTTACGCTGACATCACGTTAAATAGACACCTTCAAAAATAATACAAACAGAATATTAGCAGACTCAACACTGTGAGATATAAAACATAAAGGTTGCACCAAAACGAAAATGTACAGATTGCGATACGATACAACGACCGTTTGGGACCACTTATATGTAATACGATACAACAGTTTGGGCCCATTTTATATGCATGATTAAATACATAAACACTTCTGCTAAAAAAAGTTTTACAAAAATAGAAAAAAAAAATCTTTCTTTTTTTATTGAAAATCCCCCCCCAAACAACTCTTCGGCATATGGAAGATGTGTTGACGTGGAAGAAGATGGAACTATTTTCAATATGCTTTTGACTGATTACACAACAGAGTGTATGGAGAGCAGGCTTAAATGTGCCCAAACGACATTTTCAGGGTTCAGGAAATGTTTTCCTTATTTTTGACTAAGTCTTGGACTCGAGCTGATTCTCACAGTGACATGTAGACGAAGAGTAGATGAAAACTTGGGCTATTTTGCTGAATACATGTTTGCTTCAGCACGCTCTAAGTTCAAAAGTTGAAGGTGACAGATAGAGTGAGTGAGTGAGTGAGTGAGTCGGGTTTAACGCCGCTTTTAACAGTATTCCAGTTATATCGCAGCGTGTCAGCTTAATGTGATAGGGAAAGCCCGAAGTGATGCAGGTCTAAGACGTTTACCACTACGGTGAAACCCACGAGCACTGGTATGGTGCTGACAAACCTAGAAACATAATCGGGGCGAACCGGGATTCGAACCCACAATCATAGGTTTCTGGCGTGCCTAAGGGACACAACTCTGCACAGCGAATCGTGGCGCCTTAGACGACTGGGTCACCCGTGCCCCCGAAGGTGACAGATAGAAGGAAGACCAGTTTTTCCGACATTTTTCACAGCAATATCTTCAAGTATTTCTATTTCCAGTTTGCCCAAACCTTGACCCCTCTTCCCTAGCAATGCCGATCATGCTGACTGTGAAACAAACAAGGACATCACTTGGGACGTGGAATTCTCCCTTCCGACATAGCATTTGAGAATAAATATACAGTAAACTACGTTAATAACGAACACGCTTATAACGAACTGACGGATATGATGTACTTATTTTTTTGTGTCCCGGCCACTGCTGTACATATGCTTATAATAAACTATGGTTATAACAAACTAAAATTAGTGGACACTTTCAGTTTGTTATAGCCCTATTTTACTGTCGTCTTATTTTTTCATAAAGCCAAATTTGTACAAAGGTGTTGGATAAACACAGACAATATTTATTTTATGAAAACTTTCTGCAAGAATCTCAGTTTGGAATACCCCATTCCAGCTCAAGTTTGTTTTAGCACTTGATTCGATAAATATATAAATACACTATATACAATGAATGCTTCAGGTAAACCACCAACACACTATGTTTGTGTTGAACCAGAAGTTGCTTTTATACATATAAAGGCTGAAAACATCATGTACATAATCTTGAAATTCACTGAACTGAGTCATTCTGATGCTAGAATTGTGTCTGTGGTTTCTGGGAGACAAAGAATCTGGGAATGACTTTTGATATGTTACAATGACAAAAGACAAGGGCGGTGGTGACAAAAGGACTAGAGTCAAGCAAGTGGTGGAGGAGAACGGCTCAATGTGTTTATACAACTTTAGACTAAAAAAATATAGTCTTGCTTCTCAGGCACTGCTCACATCATCATAAAGTCTGCCATACGTTTCTTTTTTTAATTCCATTTTCCAAAAAGATTTTAAATCCTAATTTTTGAAAACAATGCGGTCCAATATTGCACACAGTTACTTCTCTTTACATGGGCACTGTTTTTCTGTGTGTCTCGTGTTACGGTCATGGCGGCAATAAGAGTTTGTATGCTTGTTTATGCAGGTAGACCCCTTGCCAGGTTGATGGTACACAACTGTTTATATGGTTACATACTAGTTTGAACAAGCAAAAAAAAATAATACCGTGACCGCCCGCACTATACTAAAAGTAAGGCAAGTTATTGCCTGAGAATCAATTCTTTTTTTTTTTTAAGCCTTTACAACATCCCTGTATTATCGTGGTTGGGGTCACCCAAGCTAGTTTCACACTTAGTGGACAAACATGGGTCATGACGTCTTAGAGCATGATGGGTTTGCTAGTGACAAGATCTACAAATCCCTATGTTTGATGGCTTGAACATATTCCTGACTACAAAGGTCAAGGCCTGTACAGTAAAATAGACATGTAAACATCGAAAAATATATTTTTCCCACTTCTTTCATTACTTATGAGTGGATGAGTGAGAGGCTCTGGTCTCTTGACGACAAACACATGATGAACCCTTCTAACGATTCAATAGGACTCATTTCTTCACCTTAGCTTGCTATCATTTGCATCCTCATCTGATAACATCAACGTAATAAATAACTGCAGTACTGTTCTTAATCAGCTGCCCATACAATATCTTTAAAGTAATATTTTTCACTGGTTAATTCATTAATTAATATATCTTAGGTTTTTATCTTCATCATGGACACCTATTTCATCTGAGCTCCGTCTCCATCACTGACATCTACGTTATCCCAGTCCAATCTTTGTCATTGACACCTAATTCAGGGTTCCAGAAGCAGCAGTAACACCAACGTTTTGCAAGTTTCGTGTACATCACCATTGTCATATTTCATCAGTTTGCAATAACATGCTAAAATTATGTTCTTCATATTCAGTTAATCAACAGTTCTGTTAGCCTTCATCCACAGGTTTCTTTGGTTTCTGTCTTTCATCGTCAACAGTCGAGCCATGTGTTATCTGCGTTTCGCCTTCATCTTCTTCTTCATCATGGCCTTCTGCTGCAGCTCGTCCTGTTCCTGTTTCATGTCTTCCAGGTCCTCCAGCAGCCCCAGCTTGGCACTGAAGCACACAGAGCACACGTGTCATCACGATTAAGTCAGACCATAGCACACAGAGCACACGTGTATCACGATTATGTCACACTATGGCATACAGAGCACACATGTCATCACGATTATTTCACACCATAGCACACAGAGCACATGTGTAGCACGATTATGTCACACTATGGCATACAGAGCACACATGTCATCACGATTATATCACACCATAGCACACAGAGCACACGTGTATCACGATTATGTCACACTATGGCATACAGAGCAAACGTGTATCACGATTATGTCACACTATGGCACACAGAGCACACGTGTATCACGATTATGTCACACTATGGCATACAGAGCACACGTGTATCACGATTATGTCACACTATGGCATACAGAGCACACGTGTATCACGATTATGTCACACTATGGCATACAGAGCACACGTGTATCACGATTATGTCACACTATGGCATACAGAGCACACGTGTATCACGATTATGTCACACTATGGCATACAGAGCACATGTGTATCACGATTATGTCACACTATGGCATACAGAGCACACGTGTATCACGATTATGTCACACCATAGCACACAGAGCACACGTGTCATCACGGTTATGTCACACTATGGCACACAGAGCACACGTGTATCACGATTATGTCACACTATGGCACACAGAGCACACGTGTATCACGATTATGTCACACCATAGCACACAGAGCACACGTGTATCACGATTATGTCACACTATGGCATACAGAGCACATGTGTATCACGATTATGTCACACTATGGCATACAGAGCACACGTGTATCACGATTATGTCACACCATAGCACACAGAGCACACGTGTCATCACGGTTATGTCACACTATGGCACACAGAGCACACGTGTATCACGATTATGTCACACTATGGCACACAGAGCACACGTGTATCACGATTATGTCACACCATAGCACACAGAGCACACGTGTATCACGATTATGTCACACTATGGCATACAGAGCACACGTGTATCACGATTATGTCACACCATAGCACACAGAGCACATGTGTCATCATGATTATGTCACACCATAGCACACAGAGCACACGTGTATCACGATTATGTCACACTATGGCATACAGAGCACACGTGTATCACGATTATGTCACACTATGGCACACAGAGCACACGTGTATCACGATTATGTCACACTATGGCATACAGAGCACACATGTAGCATGATTATGTCACACCATAGCACACAGAGAACATGTGTATCACGATTATGTCACACTATGGCACACAGAGCACACGTGTATCACGATTATGTCACACTATGGCACACAGAGCACATGTGTCATCATGATTATGTCACACCATAGCACACAGAGCACACGTGTATCACGATTATGTCACACTATGGCATACAGAGCACACGTGTATCACGATTATGTCACACTATGGCACACAGAGCACACGTGTATCACGATTATGTCACACCATAGCACACAGAGCACATGTGTCATCATGATTATGTCACACCATAGCACACAGAGCACACGTGTATCACGATTATGTCACACTATGGCATACAGAGCACACGTGTATCACGATTATGTCACACTATGGCACACAGAGCACACGTGTATCACGATTATGTCACACTATGGCATACAGAGCACACGTGTATCACGATTATGTCACACTATGGCATACAGAGCACACGTGTATCACGATTATGTCACACCATAGCACACAGAGCACATGTGTATCACGATTATGTCACACGATAGCACACCGAGCACATGTAGACATCTTCTTTGGTAATATATAGAACATTATATTCTTCTCCATGTCAGACTGTTTACGACACTCCTGTCTAAATTCCGGTATTTCCCTGAGCGAACCGTAAACATAGAATGACATGAACACTCATATAACACCCTCTATTTATTACCCTTAATAGCTAAAGTGTAACAACTGTTTTACATTTGCACTTGAAGATAAACAATTCTCAAATTTGATTCATCACTCACCTCCTTGCCTCCTCCTTCATCACCGTGGCGTAGTTGCTCTCCATGCAAGCCAGGTCATCATCCCTTATATGGTCATACCTGAAAAACAACCAAATACATCAGTACTTATCTATGTTTGTTTGCAAACCGAGACTACCGAACGTGCTCGGACAAGTAAACGAACGACTGATGGTATAAATTGTTGGTTGGTTGGTTGGTTTGTTGTTTAACGCCACACTCAGCAATATTCCAGCTATATGGACCAGACAATCCAGTGATTAATATCATGAGCATCAATCAACGCAATTGGTGACATGCATCAACCAAGTCAGCGAACCCGACCACCCGATAGTCGCCTTTAAGGACAAGCATAGTCACCTTTTACGGCAAGCATGGGTTGCTGAAGACCTATTCTACCCCGGAATCTTCACGGGTCGATGGTATAAATAGTCTAAGTAAGTGAGTGAGTGAGTGAGTGAGTGAGTGAGTGAGTGAGTGAGTGAGTGAGTCGGACAGGTAAACATCTGCTGATGGTATAAAAAGTCTAAGTGAGTGAGTGAGTGAGTGTGAGCGGATGAGTATTTCAGTTGTATAATTAGTTAACAGTTTCATGAGTGAGTGAGTGAGTGAGTGAGGTACGGAGCGAGAGAGCGAGCGAGCGAAAAGGTGGGTGAGTATTTCAGTTGTATCATGGTGTAACAGTTTCATGTGGAAAAGGAATCACTCACTTGCGCTTGTCGTATCCGAAGATCTGTCGGATGTACTTGGAGTAGTCCAGACTGGAAGGATCGTCCATATCTTCGTCATCATCAATGAAGCCATCCATTTCTTCATCCTCTTCACTCTCGCTGTCTATCACCTGGCGCTTCCTCTTAGCTGTAACAAAGTAACAATGTACAGATTGCAGGTGAAAGAAGCAACACTGTGTCTGCTGTGGGATATTTAGTGTTCTGATAGTCGTCAATGGAGGTGTCATTAGATCCTTATGCAGAGAGGTATCGTATTGGAGGCTAAATAGTACGCTGCATATTACCAACGCACCAACCCCACACCCTTAAGCACCCTCAAGCACTACATTACAACCAAAGTCAATGCACATGATTTAATTGGCAGCTCCCTGGGGAGCTGCCAGTGAGGAACCGAGCTGCCAGTGTGGAACTAGAAGATTAACACTCACATAACCATAACAGTCACATAACCATTTCTCCCTACCAGGTACCCATTAGCTAATGTAAAAGATCTCATTTTATTGAAATTGACCGAAAAAACTGTCTAGTGGAATGATTGATCATATCAGTCAATGAGTCTTGATTGATTGGCAAAATACCTACATGACAAAGTAATACCACACATAAAGTTTGTGGTCTTTGTTTAAAGGCTGTCCCTCAATTAGAAAATAAACTTTGTCATCCGGCAGCCATGAGCGTGGCTCCCAGCCATCTGGCCTATCAAGCAACTTAACACTTGTCATCATGTCAATTAGCGGCTTCAGTAGACTAACATCTAGTGTTTGAAATGGACATATTTTACAGAAAAAATAGTTGTTAAATTATAGCTACAAAATTTTATAAAAAGGAGCCCAGAGATTTTCATCATTTCCTGATACTGCAGTAATCTAGACTTGCCAAACAAGGGCTTGCATGAGCTGTATTGGATACATTTGTTTCAGGGTCTGTATGAGCATATCTATATTATAAATGCCAAGCAATATGTAAAGTGCACAGAAAGGTTTGCATTAGGCCCGACTGTTTCAGATCAAGAGCGTTTGTTTACAAACAAGAGAAATGTCCGGTCATGTGATATGATGGTCAGTCGACAGTTCAACCAATGACATCACAATGGTCTGCAAAGCATTGTGATGCTATTTCATTGCTGCGATATCTCCTATAATAATAATAATAATAATCATAATAATAATAATAATAATAATGGCTTAATAAAACGATCACTTACTGATTGGACGTTTGGGATTATTTTTTTTAATTTCTCCGACTATTCTGTCAAATGGATTTGTTGCCATTGGTGACGATGGTGGTGATGGCGAGGACGGTCCACACACCAGAACATTTTCATGTGCGTCATCATACTGCTGTCGTGGTTTCTTTCCCCCGTGTCCACGTTCATCCACTCGATGTCTCTCCCTCGACAGCTGCTTCGCCTGTTCCCTGTGCTTGTCTTTGGAGAACTGTTGGGGGCCGTCTCTCTGCTTGTCACGTGATACCTGTTCACGATACTTATCCTTGTTACCTTGACCTTTGGATGGTCCATCCTCATATTTATTCTTGGAGATGGGAGCTTTGTATTTGTCTCGAGACACCTGTTGACTCTCACGATGTTTGTCTCGAGACATCTGTTGATTTTCACGATATTTGTCTCGAGATACCTGTTGATTTTCATAATGGTTGTCTTGAGACATCTGTTGACGCTCTCGATGTTTGTCTCGAGACATCTGTTGACTCTCTCGATGTTTGTCTCGAGACATCTGTTGACTCTCTCGATGTTTGTCTCGAGGCACCTGCTGACTTTCACGATGTTTGTCTCGTGACACCTGCTGACTTTCACGATGTTTGTCTCGAGACACCTGCTGACTTTCACGATGTTTGTCTCGAGACACCTGCTGACTTTCACGATGTTTGTCTCGAGACATCTGTTGTTGACTATCTCGAGATTTGTCCTGAGACATCTGTTTGGAACTGTCTCTATGTTTATCCTGCTTCATCTGCTGAGTGTTTTCTCTATGCTTGTCACGAATCATTGGTTGCGGACTTTCTCTATGTCTCTCTTTGTGCTTACCATTATTCATTGTTCGATACTTATCTGAATGTTTCTCACTGTTTTTGCTAATCATCTGCTTATGTTTGTCTGCCATTCTTGAATCATATTTGGAACCGTTGTCATGTCTATCAAAATGTCCATTAGAATGACTAGAACCTTGAGCACTTTTAGAATGGGGTTTAGTAGATGTTTGTTCCCTCATGCTCTGCGACTTCACTGAATGCGACACATGCTTGGAATTCACTGTGTTTGGAATTTTCGAACCTGATAACTTTGAACTAGAAACCGACGACTTTGAACCGGAAAATGAATGAGACATTTTCGAATTGATAGCAGAGGATGGACTTGACTTATGAAAACTAGATGAGCTGAAACTTTTGGACAATGATTTCGAATCTTGATGTTTCCGTGGTGCCTCAAGAGGATCCTCATCAGAAATGTCTGAAAAGGATTCGGAATCGGAAGACACAAGAGGTGGGGGAGGAGGAGGTCTCCCCTTGCCATACTTCAACCAATCCTTGTATTCCTGAGTCTGTTTGCGAGCCTCCCTATCCTTCTCCTCCTGTGTCATCGGCCTCTGGTCCTTCTTCTTCTTTACCACTGCCTTGGCTCCCGACTTGTCTTCTTTCGGAACATTCTGTTTTGCTTCGGCCATTTTCAGAAGTGATGAGAAATCTAAAGGTGCTCCCATTGGTTTGGGTCTCTTTTTCATAATTGGCGGTTTGGGCTTCTTGACGGGCTCCGTTTTGACTACCGGAGGGATAATTTTTTCAGAGCGTTGTTTCTCTTGGCGTTGTTTCTCTTGGAGTTGTTTCTCTTGACGTTGTTTCTCTAACAACCTCTCCCTCTGCTGTTGCCTTTCACTATTATCTTTTGAAGAATGGAACTCCTTTGATGATGTAAATTCTTTCGATTTTACGTCTTTAGATATCTTGATCTCTTTAGAAGACTTAAACTCTTTTGCCGCAAGCTCTCGGGACATTTTTCTTTCTTCCTTTTCTTTTCTCCTCTGCTTTCGTTCAGCCCTCTCTTTTTCAGCTTGAGCTCTAGCATCTTTCTCGTCTGTAATTTTCCGATTGATCTCCTCGACCTTCTTCCTCATTGCATCTTCTTTTTCTTTACGAATTATGGCTTCCATTTTGGCCCAGGCAGCATTTTGAGCTGGCACAGCTGTTCGAGGACCTTTGAACGTATATTGCATCTGTTCAACATCTTTGGTATAGTCATATGCTGGTTCAGTACTTTCAACAGCGGGTTTGGCTTTTACCGCTGTCAATGTGTTTTCCTTCTTTGCCTTGTTGTGCGTTGATTCCTTCTTTTCTTTGTTTTTATCTCCTTTCTCTCTTTTTCCGGAACCTTCATCCTTCTCTCCATCTTTGCTACTTGAGCTGCCCTTCTCTGGGACCTCTCCACTCTTAGGGATGCGAAAGATCTTTTTCTTTTCAGCTTCCCTCAATTCTTTTTGTCTTCTTTTTTCTGAAATTAGATATGTATGGTAGGTTAGACATTTTACCTCCAGCTAACATCATCTGATGCAGTTTCAAATTTCCTCGATGATCAATAAGTTTTAGATTCCAACCATAGAATTAATTATGAAATCTGTGATAAATTTTAATCAAACTGTTCAGTACACAAGCACTAATCTAGGGGTGTTTTTGGTTAAAGAATGTGTAGGATTTGGTGTTATATCCTTTCAAAGGCCAAAACTTGTTGAAACATAATGATTTTTCAGGTTACAAGACACTGGTACGTTTTTTTCGGAGAACTACCAATCCGGGATTAAACATAATGAAATATTAGTTCTCACAGGACTGTCTTCCTGTTAGAAGTGCCAGACATTTAGGAACATATAGTCATGTCTGAGATTAATAACTTCAAAAGATTATATTCAGCCTTAACCACAATGTCAGGTGCCCATTGACATTGACGATGACAAGAACAATGGGATCATATTCAGGACAGTGACTCGTGAGAACCAAGATTATATTCAGCCTCAACCACAATGACTTGTGCCCATTGACATTGACGATGACAAGAACAATGGGATCATATTCGGGACAGTGGCGTGTGAGAACCAAGATTATATTCAGCCTCAACCACAATGACTTGTGCCCATTGACATTGACGATGACAAGAACAATGGGATCATATTCGGGACAGTGGCGTGTGAGAACCAATATTAATTTCAGCCTCAACCACAATGACTTGTGCCCATTGACATTGACAATGACAAGAACGAGAACAATGGGATCATATTCGGGACAGTGGCGTGTGAGAACCAAGATTATATTTAGCCTCAACCACAATGACATGTGCCCATTGACATTGACGATGACAAGAACAATAAGATCATATTCGGGACAGTGGCGTATGAGAACCAAGATTAATTTCAGCCTCAACCATAATGACTTGTGCCCATTGACATTGATGATGACACGAACAAGAACAATGGGATCATATTCGGGACAGTGGCGTATGAGAACTGAGATTAATTTCAGCCTCAACCATAATGACTTGTGCCCATTGACATTGATGATGACACGAACAAGAACAATGGGATCATATTCGGGACAGTGGCGTATGAGAACTGAGATTAATTTCAGCCTCAACCACAATGACTTGTGCCCATTGACATTGATGATGACACGAACAAGAACAATGGGATCATATTCGGGACAGTGGCATGTGAGAACCAAGATTATATTCAGCCTCAACCACAATGACATGTGCCCATTGACATTGACGATGACAGGAACAATGGGATCATATTCGGGACAGTGGCGTGTGAGAACCAAGATTATATTCAGCCTCAACCACAATGACATGTGCCCATTGACATTGACGATGACAGGAACAATGGGATCATATTCGGGACAGTGACTCGTGAGAACCAATATTATATTTAGCCTCAACCATAATGACATGTGCCCATTGACATTGACGATGACAGGAACAATGGGGGTCATGTTCAGGCAGTAGGGCTGTGAGAACCAATGCTCGTAGGAACGTAGGGATACACACTGTGAAGTATTGGCAATGACAGGAGTGAGTTGGGTTTAACGCCGCTTTTAACAGTATTCCAGTTACATCGCGGCATGTCAGCTTAATGTGCCCCAAGCAGGTCTCAGACGTTTACCACTTCGCTGAAACCAATGAGAACAGGTATGGTGCTGACAAACCTAGAAACATAATCGGGGCTAACCGGGATTTGAACCCACAATCATAGGTTTCTGGCGTGCCGAAGGGACGCAACTCTGCACAGCGAATTGCGGCACCTTAGACGACTGGGCCTACCCTCCCCCCGGACAATGACAAGAACAATGGGGGTTATATTCTTGCAGTTGGACTGTGAGATCCAAGACACTGACATGTACACATTGACATGGACAGTGACAGGAACAATGGGGGTCATATTCAGGCAGTTGATGTGTGAGATTCAAGACACTGACATGTACCCATTGACATGGGCAGTGGCAGGAACAATGGGTGTCATATTCAGGCAGTTGGACTGTGAGATTCAAGACACTGACATGTACACATTGACATGGACAGTGACAGGAACAATGGGGGTCATATTCAGGCAGTTGATGTGTGAGATTCAAGACACTGACATGTACACATTGACATGGACAGTGGCAGGAACAACGGGGGTCATATTCAGGCAGCTGACATGTGAGATTCAAGACACTGACATGTACACATTGACATGGGCAGTGGCAGGAACAACGGGGGTCATATTCAGGCAGCTGACATGTGAGATTCAAGACACTGACATGTACCCATTGACATGGACAGTGACAGGAACAATGGAGGTCATATTCAGGCAGTTGATGTGTGAGATCCAAGACACTGACATGTACACATTGATATGGACAATGACAGGAACAATGGAGGTCATATTCAGGCAGTTGATGTGTGAGATCCAAGACACTGACATGTACCCATTGACATGGGCAGTGGCAGGAACAACGGGGGTCATATTCAGGCAGCTGACATGTGAGATTCAAGACACTGACATGTACCCATTGACATGGACAGTGACAGGAACAATGGAGGTCATATTCAGGCAGTTGATGTGTGAGATCCAAGACACTGACATGTACACATTGACATGGACAGTGACAGGAACAATGGGGGTCATATTTGTGCAGCTGACATGTGAGATCCAAGACACTGACATGTACCCATTGACATGGACAGTGGCAGGAACAATGGGGGTCATATTCAGGCAGTTGATGTGTGAGATCCAAGACACTGACATGTACACATTGACATGGACAGTGACAGGAACAATGGGGGTCATTTTCAGGCAGTTGGACTGTGAGATCCAAGACACTGACACGTACCCATTGACATGGACAGTGGCAGGAACAATGGGGGTCATAATTGTGCAGCTGACATGTGAGATCCAAGACACTGACATGTACACATTGACATGGACAGTGGCAGGCACAATGGGGGTCATAATTGTGCTGCTGACATGTGAGATCCAAGACACTGACATGTACCCATTGACATGGACAGTGGCAGGAACAATGGGGGTCATATTCAGGCAGTTGATGTGTGAGATGCAAGACACTGACATGTACCCATTGACATGGGCAGTGGCAGGAACAACGGGGGTCATATTCAGGCAGCTGACATGTGAGATTCAAGACACTGACATGTACACATTGACATGGACAGTGACAGGAACAATGGAGGTCATATTCAGGCAGTTGATGTGTGAGATCCAAGACACTGACATGTACCCATTGACATGGGCAGTGGCAGGAACAACGGGGGTCATATTCAGGCAGCTGACATGTGAGATTCAAGACACTGACATGTACCCATTGACATGGACAGTGACAGGAACAATGGAGATCATATTCAGGCAGTTGATGTGTGAGATCCAAGACACTGACATGTACACATTGATATGGACAATGACATGAACAATGGGGGTCATATTCAGGCAGTTGATGTGTGAGATGCAAGACACTGACATGTACCCATTGACATGGACAATGACATGAACAATGGGGGTCATATTCAGGCAGTTGATGTGTGAGATCCAAGACACTGACATGTACACATTGACATGGACAGTGACAGGAACAATGGGGGTCATATTTGTGCAGCTGACATGTGAGATCCAAGACACTGACATGTACACATTGACATGGACAGTGGCAGGAACAATGGGGGTCATATTCAGGCAGTTGATGTGTGAGATCCAAGACACTGACATGTACACATTGACATGGACAGTGACAGGAACAATGGGGGTCATTTTCAGGCAGTTGGACTGTGAGATCCAAGACACTGACACGTACCCATTGACATGGACAGTGGCAGGAACAATGGGGGTCATAATTGTGCAGCTGACATGTGAGATCCAAGACACTGACATGTACACATTGACATGGACAGTGGCAGGCACAATGGGGGTCATAATTGTGCAGCTGACATGTGAGATCCAAGACACTGACATGTACCCATTGACATGGACAGTGGCAGGAACAATGGGGGTCATATTCAGGCAGTTGATGTGTGAGATGCAAGACACTGACATGTACCCATTGACATGGACAGTGACAGGAACAATGGGGGTCATATTCAGGCAGTTGATGTGTGAGATATAAGACACTGACATGTACCCATTGACATGGACAGTGACAGGAACAATGGGGGTCATATTCGTGCAGCTGACATGTGAGATCCAAGACACTGACATGTACCCATTGACATGGACAATGACAGGCACAATGGGGGTCATATTCAGGCAGTTGGACTGTGAGATCCAAGACACTGACATGTACACATTGACATGGACAGTGGCAGGCACAATGGGGGTCATATTCAGGCAGTTGATGTGTGAGATCCAAGACAATCACATGTACCCATTGACATGGACAATGACAGGAACAATGGGGGTCATATTCAGGCAGTTGGACTGTGAGATTCAAGACTATATTCAGCAGTAACCACATATCATGTACACACCTTTCTCATGTCGTTCTCTGGCCTTCTCATCCTGTAGCTTCTTGAGGGTGTCCGACTTTCCTTCTTTTGATTTCCTGTCTTCTTTCTTTGCCGAGGACAGAGTGGTTGAAATCTGTGCACTGTTTTCAAACTGAAAATAGACAAGCATGCAGACCACTACAGTTATTACCAGATAAACAACAGACAAACCTACTCCTGTATGAACAACACACTGCATTACATGACAGGCATTGAATGCTGCACCACCACCATAGGAACTCAACAACACAACGCTTTCATCTTTATTAATACAGAACTTTGCAAGTTATAAGAATTATATCCGTGAGTGAGTATGGTTTTACGTTGCTTTTAGCAATATTCCGGCAATATCACGACTGGGGACACCAGAAATGGGATTCACACATTGTACCCATGTGGGGAATCGAACCTGGGGGTAGGTGTGACGAGCGAACGCTTTAACCACCAGGCTACCCCTCCACCCTGGAATCATATGAGTGAGTGAGTTGGGTTTAACACCGCTTTGAACAGTATTACAGTTATATCATGGCGTGTCAGCTTAATGTGGGACGTAATTTACATGAGCATGGGTACGGTGCTGACAAACCTAGAAACAAAATCGGGGCAAACCGAGATTCGAAAATAACAAACATAGGTTCCTTGCGTGCCAAAGGGTCGCAACTCTGCACGACAAACCACGGCGCCCTAGACGACTGGGTCACCCATTCCCACTAGCATCATATGAAAAAGAGAAACTTCACAAACTGGTATTGACTGATACATGGGCTTGGAGTCGTATCATGAACTGATGTTATCATGGTTATCAAAAAATGTTAAAATAATTTTGTTCACACAATTTTGGGAGTCATATCTTATTCAATTTACTGGCGTGCCTTCTTGTTATTGAGCATGCTAAAGCAGACAACTCTTCTTAGGCAATAGCACAGCCCAAGATCACTTGGACCTGTGAAGATCCGGGTCAGAATAGGTCTTCAGCAACCCATACTTGTCGTAAGTAGCGATAATGCTTGTCGTAAGAGGTGATTAGCAGGATCAGATGGTCAGGATCGCTGACTTGATTGATGCATGTCATCGCGTATCCAAGTTGTGAGGATCGATGCACATGATATCAATCTCTGGATTGTCTGTCCCAGGCTTGATTATTTACAGACCGCTGCTATATAGCTGGAATATTGCTGAGTGCAGCGTTAAACAAAACAAAAAAAGATCACTGGAACAATTGAGTCTCAGTGTGGATGCTCTGTGAATGAAGTTTATGAATGTCATAATTGACATACTGTCTGCGCCTAAGAGGAACAACAATCACAAAAGCATGATGTTGTGAGGCAGGTGATACGATTCCTACCTGCCTCACATCTACAATGCAACATCCGTCATCAATCCACATGATACAACATGGAACACTCTCTGATATCACCATATCATTAAACTTGGAAATGAGATTGGATTTGAGATTTTGACACTGTGGTGTATTGCCATTGTGAGTAGTGTTAGAGTAAATAGTATCAGCTAGATGATGACGTGATGTCTGACCGCATGTACTGCCACCATGATAGAACAATAAACCTGTGATCGTATACCGAATTCTTCATGGTTATAGATCATTACGGAGAATATGAGAACAATATGGAGAGACATGACAGTTTAATGCTGCAGTCATCAGTATGCAAGCTTATTATTGGCCTGAAAATAACCAAGACCGGTCTCCGCTAACCCCAATGGTTCTTAGCAAGAGCAGCTCCAGGCTGTTGTGGCACAATTTGGCTGACTAACTCTCAACATTATCTATACTGAACTAATAATGAGAGGCAAACAGACCCAGCACTTTCATTACCATGATTACAGGACAGAGTGAACTACTTTGCATTTGTGATACCAACAACATGATAGAGTAAAGATTTGTTTGTTGTTTAATGCTGCACTCAGCAATATTCCAGCTATATGACGGCGGTCTTACGACTAACGCAGTCACCTTTTCTCACAAGCATGGGTTGCTGATTATGCTGAAGACGTATTCTACCCCGGATCTTCGGGATTGAAAAATACACAGCTGTAAATAATCAAGTCTGGACCAGACAATCCAGTGATTGACATCATGGGCATCGATCTACGCAATTTGGATCGATGACATGCATCAAGCAAGTCAGCGAGCCTGACCACCCGATCCCGTTAGTCGCCTCTTACGCCAAGCATGGGTTGCTGAAGACCTATTCTACCCCGGATCTTCACGTGTAAAGAAATTCCTTTTCCATCCTTATTATCTTTGCTACCCCTTTACTTTCTTCCTGTGATGGTTCTTTCAGGATGCAGCACTTAAAGAGTCCCCATTAAAATTAACTGCTCCCAGTCTGAACTTTAGGTAGCTTTAACATGTAGTATCTAGGGATGGGACGATACACCAACTGTGCGATCTGATACATATCAGGATGCTTCAAAGCCCACTGAAGACATCAAAGTGTTCACGTCTTATCGCTGAAGTCATGTTTCAATTAGGCTACACAAAGTAAGATATCCAATAAGTAAAGAAAACTTACCTTAAAACTTACTTTGTCACTTATTCACATTTTAATCAAACTTGATTTGATGATAATTGTGCATCAGAACAATCGTATGAATCGATTATGTATCGGCTGCGTTTGTAAACTTCTTGTCTGTAATGTCGTGTGACTGATTATGTGTGCATCTATTTTTAACTTGAATGTAATGAAGTGGCTTGAAATCATATGACGGTAACAAGATGGCGTCTGATCGACAAGGCCTTATCTCAACAAAATTAACAAGACATGGTCATTTGACCATGCAAGTGTGAACAGAAATAAATATTCACAACAAGACTTCATTTTAGCATGTTTAGTGTATTGGGATTGTTATTAGACACATAATGAGAAATACTTTTTCGGGGGTCGAAAACCGATAACACGAGCATACAATTCGGTAGCATTTATGATATTACATGCATTATGCATAGTCTGCAATGTTCTCGACATAAGCGTGGTAACATCAACATAAGCATCGTACACTGTTTTTTCTCATCAACATTTTCAAATTGACATATCTAATTTTCATAATCAGGTCATATGATGATTTTGCATGTTTAGAGTGGGCATGACAACTGTTCCAATGCTACAATCATCATTCTTTTTCACTACCTAGAAAATCAGAATTTTACTTTGAGTTGAGCCTGTAAAAAAATAAAAAACAACTAAAACCAAAAACTTAAAGTGTTTTGGTTTTGTATTTTTGGTATCTAAAAATATCCACACAATTGTCTTCATGGTCTCAGTTATCTAACAGCATGTCGATGATAGTACGAGGAAAGCGTGTTGAAGCCAATTTTATACTTTCATTAGATTTGGTCAGATAAAACCATTGCTCCACACGAGCATCGAACCTGTCACAGATGGTGGACTGCAAAGTCCCACTCAGCAAATTCCCCCTCCCACACCCACGGTTCTGGATAATATGGCCGTATGCAGCTGGTTCGGGAGGCTGGCTTTTCTTTACATTTACCTGATGTTTCGAGTGTTTTTCGTTATCAGCGGCCAGGGACATCAAGTACTTGAAGTCCATGTTGATACAACATCAAACCATATCGCCAAAGACTATCCAATGACCTTTCATTGAATATAAAATTTCTGTCGCTTTCTGGGGCAAGTGCTTCTTGTTGACGTTTTCAGATCCGAGTACACGCGAGAGAAGTACTTCCGGTTGAATGGGATAACCCAAAATTGGGAATGGACCTTTACACGAAATGGTTCAACAAAATCACTTCAGTGAGTGAGTCGTACCCAGTCACCACTGTTTTCGCCAAACATTAAAAAATAATTAAATCATGGAAATGTATGTCACCTTTATAAAAAAAGGTAAACATTTATTTTATTTTATTTTAAAAAGCGTACACACGTTTTGTATTTTTTCTGATGGAGAATAGTGACTTCCCTGTCAGCTCTTCCGAAGAAAATGAAACACTTATCAACAGACCACAAACTGATATTTCCAAATAATGTCTCAAAACATTTACTGTTTTCTCACAAGGAGGTTTTTGCACCCTAGAACTTTACCACAAACGGATATTTTCAAATAATGTCTCAAAACATTTACTGTTTTCTCACAAGGAGATTTTTGCACCCTAGAACTTTACCACAAACGGATATTTCCAAATAATGTCTCAAAACATTTACTGTTTTCTCACAAGGAGATTTTTGCACCCTAGAACTTTACCACAAACTGATATTTTCAAATAATGTCTCAAAACATTTACTGTTTTCTCACAAGGAGATTTTTGCACCCTAGAACTTTACCACAAACGGATATTTCCAAATAATGTCTCAAAACATTTACTGTTTTCTCACAAGGAGATTTTTGCACCCTAGAACTTTACCATTTTGGCTTGTGCATCATTTTCACTCAACAACAATAATGAGAACGTTTACAATTATCGGGATTTTCTGTTTGTTACTTTTGTAATTTCTCGTATGATTACAATGACAATGGACCTTAATTTTAAGAGAATGTTTGAACAAACAACGTAATTATCCATTTAATTTAGAGAACAAAGCGGGGTTTAATTACTGTGTGTGCATGAATACATCGCGTTTAGAGAACAAAGTTTCAAGGAGCCATTCCCAATTTCAAGTAAATGCGTAAGTGTTCTTTCGTATACATGTCAGCTCGAGGTCACACAGAACTGTTTATGACCCCTGTTATAACAACCTTTATTTGTACAAATTACACAGGAGCTCCGACCACCAGCCATATGTCACCAAATACAGAGGTGCAACAGCAGTCCAGGCGGCATGCAAACCAATAACGAGGTAATCAGAGTGTCAAACAATCGGCCAATATCGGCGATTTTCGCCACTTGGATAAGCGCGACAACACACTTCGTGGCACAACTTCTTACAGCTGTGTTCGTTTGTAGAGGTTCAGCAATAAATCTCAGGGAGTCTGATGATTTACGTTACAGGAATAGATGTACGGTTGTGATATGATTTGGACAGTACATATATATATATATTCATGACTACAAGCACTACTGGGGAAAAAATTAAGTGGGTGGTCAGGTCAGGTCAAAGCTGACTTGGTTGATGCATGTCATCGATCCCAATTGCGTGGATCGATGCTCATGATATCAATCACTGGATTGTCTGATCCAGACTCGATTATTTACGGACCGCCGTCATATAGCTGGAATATTGTTGAATGCGGCGTAAAACAACAAACCAACCAACTAACGGTAAAAAAAATAAAGCCATAATATTATTTATGTTTTTCTTTATTAATCAGTAGTCAGAAGTGTACAAGAAGCGGGAGCTTGGGACCCAAGAGGCTGGGGGTGGTGGGTTGGGGTGGGGGGATCCCTAACATTGTAACATTTGGTATAATTGTAGTGATGGAAAAATAAAGGCCTGCGGAGAATGGATATAGACTAGAATGAATTTAAACTCCCGGGCAAAAGAACGCACACACCTATGTGTCATAGTAGCTAAAACTGCACGATACAAACAAGAACTGGTTATTCGATGGTGAGGTCTTTGTGAAAATGATAATAAATTATTACCCAACCCGCCTCACCACCAAACACCCAGCCTCATGTATAATTGTATTGTGTATCTACAGATGAAGACAACCGCAATTTGTGCTCCCCTCTCCCTGTACTTGATGAAATGTGCCATACACAAGTAAGCATTGTCCAACACAATATTCGGGGCGGTCGGGTAGCCTAGTGGTTAAAGCGTTCGCTCGTCACGCCGAAGACCCGGGTTCGATTCCCGACATGGGTACAATGTGTGAAGCCCATTTCTGGTGTCCCCCGCCGTGATATTGCTGGAATATTGCTAAAAGCGGCGTAAAACCAAACTCACTCACTCACCCAACACAATATTCACGATTCGTGTAACCCACGCGTCGAGAGGTAATATACACAGATGTCTTGAACAGTTGCTTAGACAAGATATACAAAAATAAAATACCCCAGATTTGCATTTTAAGCCCACACACCCCACACACCCCTCACACAATGATAAAAATATCATTATCAGCTTATTGTGGCATAACACTGGGTACGTGGGGTGTGCGTTCAGGGTCTAGCCGTAAGACGATCGTATAATTGACATAGGCTTACGGCAGATATTAACATTTGTGGTTCAAAAATATTTTTTGATATAAGAATCCACACATCTGAAGGAAGACGTTAATTTCATCCGATAATATGTAGTATCCCATTTCAACTTCATTTTCGTACCCTCGAGCCCATCATATTGCCAGTGAGGCTATCTACCTCCTTCAAATCAGATCACTTTGGTAATATCGTAATTTTAAACTTGTGTGTAACGGAGATATCGTTTCTCAGGACAAGACCTGATTATAATGAAATTATATATGCGCGTTAAAAAGTCTTTTTCAGAGATTCTGATAAAACCACATAATTTTTTTTTTCGAATTACGGATCAGAAGGGGTGCAGTCAAATCCCTTCACCGACCACCATCGACCCCTCTCACCCCCCACCCCGCCCGGACCCACCGCACCACACCACACCACACCACACCACACCACACCACACCACACACTCCCTCAATTACACCCCCACCAAATAAAAAACACCAACACTATTTTTTCACTTTATATTATTCATTCCAGCAATCTAAACAGAGAAAGCATGACATGTGAATCTCTACATTGTTGTCATCATATAATACGATCAATTGCAATATATACTCATGTTACAGCATCATGGGGTGTTGTTTTATACCAGATATATGTATACAAACATAATAATTTGCTCATCAGTTCTTGACACTTATTGTTGAAATTGGGAGTAATATTATTCCCTATGGCTATGTATTTTACAATCCTGAATATATCCTTCAGGATGTTTATAAATGGTTCCATGGCTTTTATACTAAATGTATAGATATATATATCTGCCGCCAGGATTGTATGATTAACCATGCATGGGCGGATACAGAGGGGGGTGCGGGGGTGCGCACCCCCCCTTTTTATTTCGATTTTTTTTTATATTTCTGTATAAATTACCACCAAGGACAATAAATAGATCTTAATTGTGCACCCCCCCTTTTAAAAAAAGCTGTATCCGCCCATACCATGGTATGTTTTGATTCAACTCCAAACTTGTGAAAAGAAACTATATTTCTCACAGAATCATTATGGAACGTATTCAGGTCAGTCCAGGGTACCGTCGTACAAAACAACCTTAGCGCTACGACTAACGCAAGTCTATGTTAAGATTTGGGAGTTACGATCACCTTAGCACTAAGATCGCTTTGTACAACGGTACCCTGAACTTGTGTACATGTGGACAGTAGATAAATAAATGCATGACAGTTTCTTGTTCAAATACCCCAAACTTGATCCCTGCTGTAACAGTCCGCTATCGGTCACTCTTACGTCATATTCTGATGTTAATCGTAACATGTTAGCTCCAGCATGGCTGTCTGGGCGTTTCAAGTATAGGTTGAAAGTCGGGGCCGCGTCAGAAAAGATACCCCGCCGACATTGTATATATGGCACGTTACCCATATGACGTAATACATGTGTCTTTTATAGCCATTAACTCCACGAAACATGCGTATGATCATGGGTAGGTGGTTGTTTTAAAGACAATCTCATTAAAGTCAGATCTTAGTTCTTGCTATCGCGGCAGCCAGAACTTAGATCTGATTTTAATGAGATTGTTTTAAAGTACGAGGGTCATTTACAATTGAGAAAACGTACAAGTTTATGGAGTCACATATACTATTAAGAAAACGTAAACATCTGGTTTATTGCTTATATATAGCCACGTGTCAATGTAGCTTCTTACACCACTATCAAACTGGAATGACAACTACCACGTGATAAGAGGTATATATGCATGACATGTTGTGATATGCGGGTAACAGATAACAAGTACAATTTAGCATACAGATAATTGGACGAAGCGAAATGAACAAGTAAGAAAACGTACAGCTTTATGGGTAACAACTTGTTTATTAAGGAAGAGAATTTATGGATTTCATCTTCTTTATTATGAGGAACACAACGTTTCGGAGTATATGCTTACTCCTTCATCAGGTGAATGAATGATATGAGGCAGAGAGCATATCTGTACATGTAAGAACTAATAATAAGATAACAAAAGATGGATGCTTAACAAGGGAAGCCAACAGATAATTGGCGCTGATAGGCGATTAGCAGTAGATACCCTTGCCGAGCTAAGCTGGAATTACCGGGCTAGATCGTAGCGCCACCAGTGGCTATTACCAGTTATGTCCCTTCTAAGACTACCAATCAGGTTCCACCTCTCGTATCACTTGCGTTTGCTTCACACAAAATGGTGGCGCCCAGTCAGGACGATCTGATCGATAATCAGGATCTATATTGTGATAAAACGGGTCTTACATCGCGAAATGCATCAAATCACGTGAGCACCTTGATTAAAAACATGAACAGATTTGGAAAATATCTGCTGACAACGAGTTGGCGGTGCACATGTTTTGCAAATCCTGCAATCGATCGAAATCTGCACGACAGTTTACGAACCGGATTTCGATTTCGGTGCGCAATTTTGATTGGACTATGCATAGACTCGTTAGTCCAGCCAAAATGTAACTCCATAATACCAGCCTAGTTCGGCAAAGGTGGAAAGTCAGTTAACTCTCTTGCCTCGGGAAGATGACACTTTACAGTAATTAGCGCTGATAGTTATGGCAACTGGAACCCAGGACTAAATTATCACTGATAGGTAAATGGCAATGGCAGTGATAGGAAAACGGGAGGCCGAGGGTAATTAGCAGTGATAGGTAAACGGGAGGCCGAGGGTAATTAGCAGTGATAGGTAAACGGGAGGCCGAGGGTAATTAGCAGTGATAGCTAAACGGGAGGCCGAGGGTAAATAGCAGTGATAGGTAAACGGGAGGCCGAGGGTAATTAGCAGTGATAGGTAAACGGGAGGCCGAGGGTAAATAGCAGTGATAGGTAAACGGGAGGCCGAGGGTAATTAGCAGTGATAGGTAAACGGGAGGCCGGGGTAATTATCACTGATAGGTAAACGGGAGGCCGAGGGTAATTAGCAGTGATAGGTAAACGGGAGGCCGAGGGTAATTATCACTGATAGGTAAACGGGAGGCCGGGGTAATTAGCAGTGATAGGTAAACGGGAGGCCGGGGTAATTAGCAGTGATAGGTAAACGGGAGGCCGGGGTAATAAACAGTGATAGGTAAACGGGAGGCCGGGGTAATTAGCAGTGATAGGTAAACGGGAGGCCGGGGTAATTAGCAGTGATAGGTAAACTGGAGGCCGGGGTAATAAACAGTGATAGGTAAACGGGAGGCCGGGGTAATTAGCAGTGATAGGTAAACTGGAGGCCGGGGTAATTAGCAGTGATAGGTAAACGGGGAGGCCGGGGTAATTAGCAGTGATAGGTAAACGGGAGGCCGGGGTAATTAGCAGTGATAGGTAAACGGGAGGCCGGGGTAATTAGCAGTGATAGGTAAACGGGGGGCCAAAAGGTAATTAGCAGTGATAGGAAAACTGGAGGCCGGGGTAATTACCAGTGATAGGTAAACGGGAGGCCGGGGTAATTAGCAGTGATAGGTAAACTGGAGGCCGGGGTAATAAACAGTGATAGGTAAACGGGAGGCCGGGGTAATTATCACTGATAGGTAAACGGGAGGCCGGGGTAATTATCACTGATAGGTAAACGGGAGGCCGGGGTAACTAGCAGTGATAGGTAAACTGGAGGCCGGGGTAATTAGCAGTGATAGGTATTTGGGGGGGCCGAGGGTAATTAGCAGTGATAGGTAAACTGGAGGCCGGGGCAATTACCAGTGATAGGTAAACGGGAGGCCGGGGTAATTAGCAGTGATAGGTAAACTGGAGGCCGGGGTAATTAGCAGTGATAGGAGAAGGAATAGAAATAGCAATAATATAGGAATAGTAAGTAAGAAAACGTACAACTTTATTGATAACAACTTCTTGTTTATTGCATATAGCGACGTTTCGATGTAGATTCTTACACCGTTATGAAGCTGGAGTGACAACAACCAAGTGATGAGAGGTATATATGCATTACATGTTGTGATGAGCAGCAGATTAACATTGAGTGAGTGAGTGAGTGAGTGAGTTGGGTTTACACCTCTTTTAACAGTATTACAGTTATATCCCGGCGTGCCAGCTTAATATGGGAGGAAAGCCTGAAGTGATGCAGGTCTCAGACGTTTACCACTTCGGTGAAACCCACGAAAACGGGTATGGTGCTGACAAACCTAGAAACATAATCGGGGCGAACCGGGATTCGAACCAACAATCATAGGTTTCTGGCGTGCCCAAGGGACGCAACTCTGCACAGCGAATCGCGGCGCCTTAGACAACTGGGCCACCCGTGCCCCCAGATTAACATTGACAACAGCAGATAAAAACTAACAAGTAGCATACAGATAATTGTATTTAGCCAAGTATACGATGTAAGAATTTACATCGAAACGTCGCAATATGCAATAAAAGTTGTTATCCATAAAGTACGTTTTCTTACTTACTCACCAACTTCTAGAATGTCAATCAAACAGTTATCTACAAATGCTGGCGAGTGAGGTGAAATGGGGTTTAACGTCGCGTCAAAGATTATTGCACTTATATAGCGACATGCATGCACGTGTGTGTGTGTGTGTGTGTGTGTGTGGCTGCTTGTACTAGTCCGGACTGATGCCGATTTATAGTGCTAGCTCACTGAGATACCATGCCGCAGTTTAACATGAATACCCCACTCAGACACAGTATACTGACTCCGAGCCGACCAGCCATTGTTTTAGCCCCTTAATGCCGAAAGCTAGACAGGGTAACAACAAGTACCACCTTCAAACGTCCTTTGGTATGACGCGGCCGGGGATCGAACCCCGGACCTTCCGCTCTCCGGGCGGGCGCTACCACTAGACCACGGAGGCGATCAAGGCTGGTGGGACATAACACACATTTTGAAAAAAATACAAAACAACATCAGTATTATAAAGCCATATCGTCTTCAGAAAAGTGCTACCTGTACCTCACCCAGTAGGTGTTGACATTCGTATCAGCGTCATTGAATAAATGCCTTTGAAAATACTCGATTCTGATTGGTCAAACAGAGGTTTCAAATCACAATATTCTGACAAGTGCGTGAGTGAGTTGCCGCTTTGATCATAATTTCAGACGAAGTCATAAATTCTTTCCCGCATATTATTATAATTTGTACGTTGATTATTTGCACCTTTTTTCCCCAACACCGATTGTCATATCGATATGCGATTGTTCGAATCTCCAGAAATGACGTCATGATAGAACAATGTCTTATCGTTAAATAAACCCTCTTCATTGTTCTTTGTGATTTATCGCGTAGCAATCTTATAGTTGTAGTTAGTCTTGAGCCAAACATTTTGAACTCAATGTCACCTACCTTCATTATCATGGGTTAATCAAAGATATGAAGAAATACCGAGATAAGTTGAAAATAAGTAAACACCCATCTTTTGCCCAAATTAATGATATTCCTGTTGTGAGGAAATTGGTGTCTGTTATGAAATGAGTTATTATTATTGTTATTTTTAATTGTTGACCTTGAATGCATCTTAAACTAACCTCAAATTTAACCATAAGTGGGATGAATGCGTTCTTGCTGAGATCGAATGGGAAGAAACTTTGAGACTTAAGACTATTTTAGATACCATATTGAGATGGTTTCAGTTCGGAATTATCCACAGGACTCTATCAAATATCTCAGATTATGGGATAACAATTTATGCTCTTTTACTCACGTATTATGGGAGTGTAAACAAGTTCAATATTTTTAGCAATCTCTGCTAAGCTTACTTTATAAAAAGTGTCCACATAGCCACAAAATGAAACTTGACCTTCAGCTTATCCTGTTTGGTTTCAAGGAGAATATATACTTGTGGTATAGAGGACCAGTTGTTCAACAGTCTTTATTATAAGTTAAAGAATTGAAAAGTATGTTAAATTGTAATCACTTTAAACATTGGATCTGTCTGCTTCTGGAGTTCAGTGATCTAGATGTAGTGTACATTGTTTCTGCTTACTTAAATTTCTGTGTTGGTTTTTCACTTTATTTATCGTTTTTGTGGCTTAGTGAGTGAGTGAGTGAGTGTGACCTGAGTTCACAGAATTCATACCTCTTATATCATTGTTACTCTATCAACAAAATTAATGCAGCTTCTGAAATTCATTTGATAATTTTTCTTGTGTTGTTTACCAGTGTCTTTATGTCCCTTTTTACTTGAGCCGGGGCGGTCGGGTAGCCTAGTGGTTAAAGCGTTCGCTGGTCACGTCGAAGACCCGGGTTCGATTCCCAACATGGGTACAATGTGTGAAGCCCATTTCTGGTTTCCCCCTCCGTGATATTGCTGGAATATTGCTAAAAGCGGCGTAAAACCATACTCACTCACTCTTACTTGAGCCGGGCACTACCCTTGGTGCCTGGTCTTATGACTCTTATCTGTAACAGGGACTCAGGAAGATGGTATGATAATCCATTACAAACGAATGAAGTGGTTATTTCTGTATTATTTGAAATATGAGTGAGTAAGTGGGGTTAAAAGGCACTTCGAACAGTATGACAATTATATCACTCGTCACGTTTTTGAGGTGAGCCCGAAAACCACTTGGCGAAACCCACGAGCATAGCTATGGCGCAGAGAAACAGAAACATGAACAGAACGAACCGAGATTCGAACCCACGATGGCAGGTTGATGCACTAAGGGAAATGGACTTCGCAAAAATTGCCTCCACTTGGAGGAATTTAACCCCGGTCTTCTGCGTGACGCTTTAACCTAACCACAACGGATAAGCAAGAATCTGCGTTCGGTTAAATGTAAACGCGACTTTTAGTATATTTCGAGCGGTGATGAAACTTCCGGTTATGAAATTTCCGCTTTCAAAACGTCAAGGTATCAGCTGAGACTTGACTACAAATGTTTGATTGTCAGTAGAAGAACGACTGATATATTCCGAGACAAATTAATTAACATTGCAATAAAGCGACTTAAAGAAACGCTTTCAGGTGATTTGACATATCCACGAAGCTTGTTAGGCTAGCACCCTCCGTAGTTTCGATTTCATTCAAGTTCGGAGATTTCATTTTCTTTACTCTTTACGCACTTTGAGTAGGCCCAGATTTCTGTATTTCCCATGAAGAATTCCAACGTTATCCGTGAAACCAATGGCTGATTTGTTTAAGTACACAATGAGAAGTACCATCAGTGATACTGATCGAATTTAGGCCAAAAATTATACTCTGAACTAGTTTGCCGCTTCAGTTGTTTTATGACATTGATGTATGGAACTAGAGTATGTGTATGGTTCTCATATATCCATTTTTGTTGTGTTAGATAACGTTCATGGTCGTTTCTAACACTTCTCATCATCAATCGTGGTCCACTGACCCTGAAAAAGACATTTATGTGACTTGTAAGGACATGTCACTCCATTTGTGAGCAATATGGCGTTATTCTGAAACCATTCAAATATTTTTCACTGGTAATGACACTGAATATTTCAAAGAAAGATTACTGTAGTGTCTGCAGCAAATTTCACTATTTCATATTAATATTACATTACTAATTCTATGGCTTTGGAGTAGAGGTAACCTGTATTTCCCTGATGACAGGAGGTTTTCCCTATCTGCCTGCCATAGGCATTTAGTTTAGAATAGAATACACTGAATAGTTTAATAAATGAACTTTTACAGTCAGTTAATTCCTTTGCCTGGGAAGATGGGACTTCTGATCCCACAGTTCTAAATCTCAGATCTATATCACAGTGGGGTTGGGTAGCCTTGTGGTTAAAGCGTTCGCTCGTCACGATGAAGACCCGGGTTCGTTTCCCGACATGGGTACAATGTGTGAAGCCCATTTCTGGTGTCCCCCGCCGTGATATTGCTGGAATATTGCTAAAAGCGGTGTAAAACCATACTCAGTCAGTCTATATCACAGTTCATTGTACCTTTGCTCCATTGTTTGAGGCACATATGTTCCGCAACTCAGACGGTGTATTAAGTTGACACAGAGTTTTACCACTCACGAATGAAGTAATTTTGAATAAAAACAATGAAATTTCCAATTTCTATTGTCAGAGCGTTTTGGTTTAAAATAATAACGATACCAATGATAATGGGTTTGTGGTCGTTCTGATATGAGGCCGTTTTGACTATAACCCATTTAACCATAGCTTAGTCAGAGAGGAAGACAGTTCACTCGCAATCCCATCAATTTCCGTCTATCATTTGTACATTGTATAATTTTTGTGTTATCAAAATACATTTCTGTTCAAAGTTTTCCTCATCCAATACACTTTGTCTAATAATTTTATTCACCCCATATGTTGTTTTTGTTATTTTATCAGAAATGTTTTAATGTACAACACAAGGGAAGGCACATGGAACATAGAAGACACAGATGACAATGTGAATTCAATATCACCAATGTTGATACCACCTTAAGTTAGACATCTAATGCATAGATAATGTTTCAAGTGCAAGAAAATATTTTGATAGATCATCTAATATGTGTACATAATAGAATTGACCCGTGAAGATCAGGGGTAGAATAGGTCTTCAGCAACCCATGCTTGCCGTGAAAGGCGACTATGTTTGTCGTAAGAGGCGACTAATGGGATCAGGTGGTCAGGCTCGCTGACGTGGTTGATGGATGTCATCGTATCCCAATTACGTTGATTGATGCTCATGATGTCAATCACTGGATCGTATGGTCCAGACTCAATTATTTACATACCGCTGTCATATAGCTAAAATATGGCTGAATGCGGCGTTAAACAAACAAACATAATAGAACTATTTTCTTTTAGAGATTTATTGAGAATATATTGCAAATTTTGTTATGCATCACATAAGTTGAAAGTGCAGTATAAACGTTTTGGGGCATGTTGATATTATAGTTACATTGATATAAGAGGTATGAGTGTTATGAACTCACGTCACGCTCACATCACACTCACATCCACTTACTTTTTGTACTAAACCACAAAAAATGTTGTTTTTTTAAACTGTTATACATGTTCTATTAACGATGAGTTTTATTTTCTCTTGGAACATCCTTATTTTCAATCGAGTAGAGAAATGTTTTTGCTGCCCTACTATTATACTTCTCCTTTCATTGATATATTATCCCAGCTTCTCTTCAGCATCAGTAACCCTGCAGTTAATAAAAGTGTATCTTTATGTCTAAAAAGAAACCTACCCAGATAAGCACCTTATCGATATATATGTTTCGAAATAGCGCACTTTATGCATTTTTGTATATGCAGCACTATGTGGCCTCATACGCAAGTACACTTGAGACTTGTCACTAATACATGAACTGTTTTAATTATTATAATGAGAGTTATTATAATTGTTTGGTGGTTGTATTTATTGAGTAATTTTGAAAAATGAATCCTTGTGTATTATTCATTTCAAAAGACAAATTTTGGAATGAAAATGAAAACAGATTGTGGAGGAAGTCTTTATAGTCTTTTAGAAGTTGGATGACAAGGAGTATTCAGGATCTCACCTGTGAAGATCTGGGGTAGAATAGGTCTTCAGCAACCCATGCTTGCTGTTAAAGGCGACTATGCTTGTCATAAGAGGCGACTGACGGGATCGGGTTGTCAGACTCACTGACTTGGTTGATGCATGTCATCGTATCCCAATTGCATGGTTTCGATACTCATGATGTCAATCACTGGATTGCCTGGTCCCGACTCGTTTATTTATACACCGCCATCATATAGCTGGAATATTGCTGAATGCGGCGTTAAACAACAAACAGACAGACAAAAACAGGATTACAACGTCTTTATTACTACTTGTCAGGGCTGCTTCTTGGCCATCCATAATTCACCCGATGAAGGGGAAGAAGTTGCCCTGAAAGTTATGTATGTTTCATAAAGAAGTTGTAATTAATAATAATACTCCTTGTGGAAATTTGTGGTTATCAATAATATTTTATTTCATTTGTCATCAAACTAATGAAGTCGTTTTGGTCAGTGTTTGTCCCATATTCACCGATTATTATTGTTTGTCTGAACCATACTCATGTTTTTGGGGTCCGTCGAAGTTGTAAATGTCCTACATCACTTTGGGTTTTCCTCCCACATTAAACTGACATACTGAAAAAAAAATATAAGGGATCATGAAATATTTGTATATATCGTACCATTTAAACAAACTCAAAGAAACTGTTTTGTTGAAATGTAGATCTTGATTATCGATCACATTGTCTTGACTGGGCGCCGCCATTTTGTTTGAAGTGCAAGTGATATGAGACTAAGAGGTGGAATCTGATTGGTCAATAGGAGCAACATGGAAGGGACATACTTCGTAATAGCCACTGGTGGCGTTAAATGTCCAGCATCACTTTGGGTTGTCCTCCCACGTTAAGCTGCATGCAGTGATATACTAACCCCCCAAAAGCTTGACTATGAAAAAATATCCCCCACGATATTCATACCTCTTAACTGCTTTTGTTCAGTTTATAACTGGAATAGTGTTCAAAGTAGTGTTCGAGTGTACCTCCTTTTAAATAAAACTGCCACACTAAACATAAAACAGACAAGCAGCTCACTTTCTAAATGCAGAAACAGTTGTCTATAGGTATGATTTTAAAAGCTTCTGTTCCAGATGGATGTTTGAGAACAGACTAGAGACATGACGGAGCTCAAGGAGAAAGCTCTGGATAGACTGAAAGCCATCTTTCCCAACCATTGTGAATACATTTTGTCGGACATCATCAACACACACGAGAGCCATGGTGGCTGTCTGACGGAAGACAAGCTGGTTGTCCGATGTGTCAACCAGATCCTAGAAGGAGGTTGGTGAACTTTGTGATGTTTGTTTACATCTTCAGTGTTGCACTGAAGCCATAGTTGACATGCCTTTATAGCTCCTATTTGTCATTTTTTGGTTCCAGATCAGCTCCATACTTGCAACATAATAGCATGTCCCAATGAGTTGAGTTGTTCGATATAGCTTAAAAGGATAAATGAATTGGTTCTCAGGCAATGACTTGTTCAAACTAGTATCAATCTCATTAAAATCAGATCTTAGTTCTCGCTGCCGCTAAACAAAGATCTGAGGACATCCCATTACGGGTCACGTCAGACCGACCTTTCGCAAACTCTGACCGACCAATGGAATTGCTGACAAGATGTCGACATAAGCCAATCAGAAGGCAGCTTTCTTGTGCTTTACGGCACTAATTTCAAATTGGCGACTACGCTTCGAAACATTTTGTCAATTTCTCGATATAAAATTTGAAACCTGAACAAAAGACCATTCTTGAATGGCTAATATATGGTCTAGATTGTATAGATTCAGTCGTTAAGCCCGTAACTATCGTTCGGAATACCCTGTTTTAAGGTTTTCGAGGCTGCATGATTAGAAATCACATTCCGACTGTCACTTTCATGATCTGGTAAGCGACGCACTGATTGGTAGGATGAAAGGTTGTTCTGACGTGACCCCTAATGGGATGTCCTCAGATCTTTGTTTAGCGGTAGCGAGAACTAAGATCTGATTTTAATGAGATTGAACTAGTATGTAACCACATAAACACTTGTGTACCGTCAACCTTGGATTCCTACTCATATTGCCGCCATGACCATAACACAAGATGCGCAGTAAAGCAGTGCGTCTCTAAAGGGAAGTAACTGTGTGCTGTATTGGATCACATTGTTTTTAAGTATGAGGATTCTTATTTGTTTTAAAAAATGGAAATAAAGACGAAACATGCAGTGGACTTAATGATGATGCAGCGATGCCTGAGAACCCAGACAATTATGTTTTTTAGCCTAAAGAAATTAAAAAAACTAAGTTGGTTAACAACACTGTGCATTATAAATTTCAACGTAGTCTTCTCATTGTTGTGTTCCTGTGTGTCTTTTCTGGTTTGTATTTACTGATCAAATGCAGGCCTCAAGATACATGCCCTCTACTGCCGTGAATTACGCATAAAAAAATACATCTTGCTTATTGTTAATTAGATATGTACATCACAGTTGTGAGATTACCGGTATGTGACATGTGACATGTGACCCACTTGGCAGTGTTCCCGGTGGCTTTTGAAACTGGTGGACTGGCAACTGGCAAATTACCAGTCCCCCCAAGTTTTTGTAGGTCCGAACTTTCAACATTTAAAAAATGTATGACAATTACCTGGTTTGAATATTTTCAACATTATGTTCGATGCAGTGTACGTTCATAGCTGACAAATGCAATGATTTCATCTCTGAAGACATCTACACGTCATTCATGCAAAGTTCAGTCACAATTTTCTCTCTTTTTTGTGTGGAATACTTCACTTTGGTTTGAGACTAAGTCGCCAGAAATATTTATATAACCTTGAAGCAAAGAGAAATGTTATTATCTTGCACTAAAATTAAACAAAGGGAAACCCTGATGGTTAGGCAAGCTGACTTTGTTCGAAATATATACTTGTATGAATATCGCCAATGTTTTGTTCAACAACAAAGATTTATAAGGTACTCTATTTGCCGGTCCACAGGGACTGGCAGTCACATGAATTACCGGTCCAAATCTAATTTTACCGGTTAAAAACTGGTAATTACCGGTAAACGGGAACATCGCTTGGGGCAGCCATGAACAGATGCAAATATGAAGTCACCTGAACAGCATTTTATACAGAATTATTTTAAGAAAAGGTCTATTCATTTTCTGAGGACATCCCATTACGGTTCACGTCAGAACGACTTTTCATCTGACCAATCAAAGCGTCGCTTACCAGATCATGAAAGTGACAATCGGAATGTGTTTTCTAATCATACAACCTCCAAACTGTTAACACGGGGTATTCCGAACGACAGTTATGACCCGTACAACTGATTCCGTCAAAATTATCGTCTATCTCTCGCATCCACTGGATAAACATTTGAACGAGGAGGCGTTGCAAAGAACGTGGGAAGCACTGCCATACAATCTCAACCATATATTAACATTCAGGATTGTTCGTTTGTTCCGTTTTCAAAATATTAATTGAGAACTGTGTCAACATATTTTTCAAGCATGGTGTGAAATGGAAGTCGCCCGGTTGAAACGAGTGCCGTAAAGCTTGAGAAAGCTGCTTTCTAATTGGCTGATGTCGACCTCTTGTTAGTCATTTCACTGGTCGGTCAAAGTTGGCAAAAGGCCGTTTGACGTAACCCGTAATGGGATGTCCTCAGATCTTTGTTTAGCGATAGCAAGAACTTAGATCTGATTTTAATGAGATTGGATTTCGAATGATCTGTCCCTTGGTATTTGTCTGTTATATCATGTCTGTCATTAGTTTGTGGGAATACTGTTAAAAGCGGCGTTAAAACCAACTCGCTCACTCACTCACTCACTCACTCACTCACTCACTCACTCACTCACTCACTCACTCACTCACTCACTCACTCACTCACTCACTCACTCACTCACTCACCCACCCACCCACCCACCCACCCACCCACCCACTCATTAGTTTGTGTTCGATGATAATGATATGTATCTATTTTCAGAACAAGCTGCAGAAAAGAGGCTAAAATCTTCCAAGCAGGAAACTGCTATAGCAGGTAACCATGGTATTTATCTACCAATTGTATTATCTTTTCATGTCAATAATATGTAACCATGGCAACCATGTCCATATTATATGAGGATGTTTTCATGTAACCATGTTCTTGTTTCATTCACATTATATGTATTCATTGGAAATGTTAACGGCTTTGTGTCATGTTTATGAAACGTGTAACCATGGCTTATGATATGTGATGCATGGCTGGCGATCTAGACACGGTAAAACTGTTTGTTGGCAGAGGCTAAGAAACAAGAAGAACATGAACAGGTTGCAGACAAAAGGATAATAAATGCCAAGAAAATCAAATCAGGTAACCATGGTGACAGTCAACCCTAAAGTTACAACTAAAATGAGGTAACCATAGTAACAGTGAATCATGAATACCCATGTAAAATGAAATCTTTTGTCCTTTTTAGGTCTGGGACGGGTAACTGGGGCACTCAGGTCAGGTGGGTACTGAGTAGGACCCGTGTACCCACAGGACTCCGAGGACCCGTGTTTGGTCACATGAAATATTTTTGAACGAGACAAATTATCTACAACTCCATTCTTACACGACAAGTTGCGAATGTTAGCATTTGTTTCTGACTATGCATGCATTCCTTCTAACTTTTAGATTTTTGAATAAAGATAAAGCTTCAGGCAACTTCAGTGTATGCATGACCAGATTGTTTTATACGTGTATCTAAATACATTTTGCCAGGGTCGAGTAATGGGGGTTTGGATACCCAGGTAGGGTTGTGTAATGGGGTGTTCGGTACCCGGGTAGGGTCGTGTAATGGGGAGGTTGGGTGCCCGGATAGGGTCGTGTAATAGGGGGTTTGGTACCCGGATAGGGTTGTGTAATGGGGGGTTTGGTACCCGGGTAGGGTTGTGTAATGGGGGGTTCGGTACCCGGGTAGGGTTGTGTAATGGGGGTGTTGGGTACCCGGTTAGGGTTGTGTAATGGGGGGTTGGGTACCCGGGTAGGGTTGTGTAATGGGGGGTTGGGTACCTGGGTAGGGTTGTGTAATGGGGGGTTGGGTACCCGGGTAGGGTTGTGTAATGGGGGTTGGGTACCCGGGTAGGGTTGTGTAATGGGGGGTTCGGTACCCGGGTAGGGTTGTGTAATGGGGGTTTGGTACCCGGGTAGGGTTGTGTAATGGGGGGTTTGGTACCCGGGTAGGGTCGTGTAAAGGGGGGGTTGGGTGCCCGGATAGGGTCGTGTAATACACGACAAGTTGCGAATGTTGGCATTTGTTTCTGACTATGCATGCATTCCTTCTAACTTTTAGATTTTTGAATAAAGATAAAGCTTCAGGCAACTTCAGTGTATGCATGACCAGATTGTTTTATACGTGTATCTAAATACATTTTGCCAGGGTCATGTAATGGGGGTTTGGATACCAAGGTAGGGTTGTGTAATGGGGTGTTCGATACCCGGGTAGGGTCGTGTAATGGGGAGGTTGGGTGCCCGGATAGGGTCGTGTAATAGGGGGTTTGGTACCCGGATAGGGTTGTGTAATGGGGGGTTTGGTACCCGGGTAGGGTTGTGTAATGGGGGGTTCGGTACCCGGGTAGGGTTGTGTAATGGGGGGTTCGGTACCCGGGTAGGGTTGTGTAATGGGGGGTTTGGGTGCCCGGATAGGGTCGTGTAATAGGGGGTTGGGAACCCGGGTAGGGTTGTGTAATGGGGGGGTTGTGTACCCGGTTAGGGTTGTGTAATGGGGGGTTGGGTACCCGGGTAGGGTTGTGTAATGGGGGGTTGGGTACCTGGGTAGGGTTGTGTAATGGGGGGTTGGGTACCCGGGTAGGGTTGTGTAATGGGGGTTCGGTACCCGGGTAGGGTTGTGTAATGGGGGGTTCGGTACCCGGGTAGGGTTGTGTAATGGGGGGTTCGGTACCCGGGTAGGGTTGTGTAATGGGGGGTTTGGTACCCGGGTAGGGTCGTGTAAAGGGGGGGTTGGGTGCCCGGATAGGGTCGTGTAATAGGGGGTTGGGTACCCGGGTAGGGTTGTGTAATAGGGGGTTGGGTACCCGGGTAGGGTCGTGTAATGGGGGGTTGGGTACCTGGGTAGGGTTGTGTAATGGAGTGGTTGGGTACCCGGTTAGGGTTGTGTAATGGGGGTCGGGTCATGTAATGGGGGGTTGGGTACCTGGGTCAGGTCGTGTAATGGGGGGTTGGGTGCCCGGGAAGTAAATTTGGACTTGTTGCAGCCCTAGTCATTTTGTATCATTGTTATGATCTGTAACCATGGTTTCAAAAGAAAGTTAAGATCATTGCAGCTACTTCATCTCTCTTGTGCATGACCTTTATGAAGATGTGTCCTATCAAGTAATAATATTGAAAGACATTGATGGGTAATTTTCAGGAAAGCGTAAGATATGCGAGAGAAGAATTACGCGATCTGTGACGAGAAAAGAGAACTGCAGGAAAGCAGGTTTGCTGTGGAATAATATTGTACTGAAACCAGTGTTGAAAACAACCCAGGGGTTCCCGTGTGAGAATGGTTGCTAGCAACTTTTGCTCGTCGTAAGAGAAGAACAAATGGATCGAGTGGTCCGATTCGGTGACTTGTTGATTGCTTCTCATCGTACTCCTGTGGCGTGGACATATGTAATCAACAATGATAGTTTCAGTCTCTGGATTGTCTGGTTCAGACTTGAATATTTTACAGGCCTCCGTCCTATACCTAGAATATGAACCCTGTGAACTTTCTATGATTTAAGTTGCACCAATTTTGATAATGATCTTTAAATATATCTTTGAAGCCAGCCATTGTGTAAAACTTATGGATGGTAAAAAAATATTATATAAAACGTTGATTTACAACCCCTGTATCACGATACATACCATACATTAAATTATAAGTTCTATTGGTGTAGGGGCGGTCGGGTAGCCTAGTGGTTAAAGCGTTCGCTCATCACGCCGAAGACCAGGGTTCGATTCCCGACATGGGTACAATGTGTGAAGCCCATTTCTGGTGTCCCCCGCCGTGATATTGCTCGAATATTGCTAAATGCGGCGTAAAACCATACTCACTCTATTGGTGTAAAAACATGTGAATGATAACAGGCTGTTCAACCTCCAGCCTATGCAGATTGTCTAGCATTTCCGGGTTGACTATAAACAGCATAACATTCACAGTGCCCTCTAGCCTATATGTTTCCGCCCTCCAACATCCCATCCCCGAACTCTGAAATTTGAAAACAAATGATTCAGGGTTTTGTTAAAAGTTCTGAGATAAAAGTGATGTGTTGTAATACGAATTGTATCGCACCAATAGTATAGGGATATGTATCATATTGTGACCCCACTGTATCATTACACCTCCAATGTTCATATCTGACTTCTTTGTAAATGGACCGACCCGTGAAGATCCTGGTTAGAATAGATCTTCAGCAACCCATACTTGCTATAAAAGGCAACTACGCTTGTCGTAAGAGGCGACTGTCAGGATTGGGTGGTCAGGCACGCTGACTTAGTTGATGAATGTCCTGGTATCCCAATTGCGTGGATCGATGCTCATGATGTCAATCACTGGATTGTCTGGTCCAGACTCGATTATTAACAGACCGCCTCCATATAGCTGGAATATTGTTGAGTGCAGCGTTAAACAACAAACAAACAAACAAACAAACAAACATTATAAAAGGACCAGAATCATTCAGCATTTGCTGATCACTCACTCTCAAACATAAATAAGGCTCATTCCTGCCTCTACCACAAGTTTGTAATATTGAATTCTGAAATGTATATCCCTTATGACACAGGTACTAAAGGACTGAAAAAGGGTCGGTCCAAAAAGACCACGCCTCCTGCCAGGAAAGGTTTGTCCTGCAGAAAGAACTGTTTGCATGGCGTTCACTTGTTCCACTGTTCCTGTTTATTGTTATTTGCTTCACCTGTGTTCATCATGGTCGCCCAGACTGCCTCTGTGGTCAAGTGGTAGAGCGGAAGGTTCCGGGTTTAAACCCCGGCCGTGTCATTCCAAAAGATGTTGAAAGATTCTACTTGTTAACCTGCCTTGTACTTGGCATTAAAGGTTAAAACAAGGACTGGTCGGCTTGGAGTCAGTATACTGTGTCCGAGTGGGGGTATTCATGTTAAACCGCGGAATGTTATCTAAGTGGGCTCGCACTATACAATTGGCATTATTCTGGACTAGTACAAGCAGCCACACACACATGTGCAGTAGGGCTGGGCTGGGTAACTCAGGTACCTGGGTCGGGTGGGTACTGAGTAGGACCCGGGTACCCACAGGACTACCCGGACCCGTGGTTAGTCACGTGATTATGTTGTTTAATGGCAAAAATGATCTAGAACTGTATGGTTACACTATAAGTTATAAATGTTCACATTTCTTTCTGACTTTGCACACATTCCTTCTGACTTGATATGTTCGCATAATAATAAAACATCAGTCAACTTCAGTGTATGCATGACAAGATCGGTTTATATGTGTATCTAAATTTATTTTGACAGGAGTACGGTCAAACCATTTTCAATCGGACATGTTTTACCTATCTCTTGAGACCTACAGCGGGTACCCGGGTTGGGTCGGGTCGGGTAATAGGGAGGTGGGTACCTGGGTAGTAAATCTGGACGTGTCCCAGCCCTGATGAGCAGGCACGTTCCTATGTATGTGCAAATATCTAGGACGTGACGTTAAACCCTATTCACCTCACCATGAAACGGGAAATGAATTGCTCAGTAGGAATGTTATTGTGGTGGTATGAATATGGATGAAGGTCCATGTTACTGTTTTTACTGCAAGAAAATATCAGCAACACTTTAGTGGGTACTAATCTACTTATGTAAACTGCTACTAAACATAGTAACATGTTTGTGTTTGTTTATTTAACCTTGGTGACAGGTGACATTTACATTTGATCTATTGAACATTCGTTATTTGATCATAATCTACCAGGAGACCATAGAATTCGGAGCCAGTGATAGATACTGCCGCTATGAAATTTCTCTGCTTGGCGCTTGAGTGGCCGTTTTCTAAGGGGATGCAACCTGCAATGCAGAGTTCCGTTCCTTTGGCTTGTGGGGCAATCTCATTAAAATCAGATCTAGGTTCTCGCTGTCGCTAAAGAAAGAGCTGAGGACATCCTATTACGGGTCATGTAAGAACGACCTTTCGCAAACTTTGACCGACTACTGAAATGACTAACAAGAAGTCGACATCAGTCAATTAAAAAGCAGCTTTCTCGAGCTTCTCGGCACTCGTTTCAACCTGGCGACTCCCATTTCAGACTACGCTTGAAAAATATGTTTACACAGTTCTTGATTGAGATTTTGAAAACTGAACAAACGAACATTACGGAATGTCTAATATATGGTTGAGATTGTATGGCAGTGCTTCCCACATACTGTGCAACGCCTCTTTCGTTCAAATATTTATCCAACAGAAGCAAGAGGCAGACAATAATATTGACGGAATCAGTCGTACGGGCCGTAACTGTCGTTCGGAATACTCCGTGTTACCGTTTTCGAGATTGCATGATTAGAAAACATATTCCGACTGTCACTTTCACGATCTGGTAAGTGATGCTTTGATTGATCGGATGAAAGGTCGTTCTGACGATACCTGTAATGAGATGTCCTTAGATCTTTGTTTAGCAATAGCGGGAACGAAGATCTGATTTTAATGAGATTGGCTTGTGGAGAAAGTGGGGTAGCCTAGTAGTTCAATGTTCGCTTGCCGAAAAACTGGGTTTGATTCCCCACATGTGTATAATGTGTGAAGCCTATTTCTGGTGTTCCCCGCCATGTTATTGCTGGAATATTGCTAAAAGTGGCTTAAAACCATACTCACTCACTCACTTCTTTGGTTTGCTACTATAAAATTACTGGTGTTGGAATCGCTCATTGTGCCTGCTTAATGTAGCTAGCATTGAGAAGTAAGTCTTCAACAGTGACATGGATGACAGTGATATGTCCTTGTAACTTAGTGGATAGTTCTATTCCCTGTGTCTAGCTCAAGGTTGCCAATTTCTTTTGAAGCAGCTGTGAAAAAAATCTTTTCTGAATTTCTAGAAAAATGGGGTTTCTGGACAAAATGGATTTCACTATAGATTGTGAGACTGTCAGGCTCTGACCTGTCATGCATGATATGGACTCCATTCCACCAAGAGATCTAAGCGCTGAGACGGTCGTGACTTTCATGCTTCAACATGCAACAGTATGAGATTGCTTTGTTGAGTCGAGGACTTGGCTACAGGCCTGTTGAAGATGACACTGAGTGAGTGAGTGGGTGGGTGGGTGGGTGGGTGGGTGCGTGGGTGAGTTTTAAGCTATTTGTAGCAGTATTCCAGCAATATCACAGGAGGGGAAAAGAAATGGGCTTTGCACATTGTAGCCATGTAGGGAATAAAACCTGGGCTTTCGGTGTGACGAGTGAACGTTTTAACCACAAGACTGCCCAGCCATCTCCATTCAGTCCACTTGATGAAGATGAAAATGTCCTGAAACAATAAGATATTAATATTGATTTTTTTTGTGTGCAGATGATGGGGTAGCCTAACAAGCATAAAACAAAATGGGGAAAAAAGAGTTAAAAATTACATGTCCAGTGGTTTTTATGCTTTCAGAACTCACCAGGGAAGAGGAAATAAAACAAATCCCAGATTTTTACTTTAATATTTAACATTTGGTTTGGAAATATGAACTGCTGCCAGTCTAGTTCTGCGTATGACGCCCATGCTTGGTGTCCCCTGTGGCTGTGGCTGAAGTATTGCCAAGAGAGGTGTTAACTCACTGTATGTCCATGTTTCAGGGAATAAGGCCAGGCCCCCAACAGACTACAGGGAGGAGGAGCAGACTGTTGCCGATGGTGAGTCCAGTTCATGCATGCCTTGTGCCCCGTGCCCCGTGCTTCCATTTTTCAAGTGTTACTGCAAGTTTGACATCTCCTCTGAAATTACAAGGCCTTTGTAGCAGAAACATTGCATGAGCGATCTTATATATTATCTTGTCTTATCTGCTTGCAGGGTTTTGATCCCGTGTTAAACATGGCCGCAGTGGCAGCCATATTGAGAAACCCATTAATAGCTATTAATCAGCTATTTGTTTTCATCATTTATCATCCAAAACTGGCTCCCCCCAGAGATATTGCTTGGATTAGATCAAGCGATATCTACACTGTAGATATCGCTGCAATAAAATTACATCACAATGCTTTGCAGACCATTGTGACATCACTCGTTACCATGACGTCACATTCAAATGACGTCACTAATGGCTCTGCTACTGAAGCTGTTAGCAGTACTCTTTACACTGAAGACACTGCTAATTAATGTCTACAAATTGAAAAAGTTGGAAGAATGATGTAGGATGATAAATAAAATCTCACCCTTGTGTCTTTTGATATCAAATATATTAACACTTGTTGATAAAAGTGGCAAAAATCCTCGGCAAGCCTCGGAATTTTTCCACTTATCAACTTGTGTTGATATATTTGATATCAAAAGACACTCGGGTGAGATTCTCTATATTGGACCCACAACGAGAAATGGGTATAAAATCACAATTTGACTTTTCATTATATGTTAAAACTACAGTATCTTCCACACACAAAAATACAATTCACAAGCTTCGATTCATTTTATTACAGAGATATATGACATCAAACATTTGGACCCATTTTCTGACTTATAACTGTTTATGCAATAATTTTATTATTTAGACATAATATCTGATGAATTGAAAAAAGATATGTTGCTGATAGGTTTTGAAATCCTGTTTACGACCTAACGAGACAAAGAGTAAGATATTTTTGTACAGTCAACACACATTGCGATCCTCATTGAAATAAGTTGACGTTAAATGTCTTATGACGTCACAGCACAATTATTTCCCAGCATCCATAAGGTCCCTTTTCTCCTGGTGGGTCACAGGGGCGGTCGGGTAGCCTAGTGGTTAAAGCGTTCGCTCGTCACGCCGAAGACCCGGGTTCGAATCCCGAAATGGGTACAATGCATGAAGCCCATTTCTGGTGTTCCCCGCCGTGATATTGCTGGAATATTGCTAAAAGCGGCGTAAAACCATACTCACTCACTCACTCACTCCTGGTGGGTCACACTTGTTGAACATTTGGCACAGGTGTAGTTTGTAGATAGTGAGAAGGTGGTGTCACCAGATTGTCAATGCTGTCATAAGCAGTGATAAGTTAAGTAATGCAAAATTGGAAAACCATATCTTAGAACTCACCGCACAATAACCTGCCACAACGTTTAGATACTTCCCCACTTCAGACAATCTTCATGAAGTGCAGTGGCTGACATGAGTTTTTTTCATATGGTTGGTATGGAAACCAAACTTGATTTTCAACTAAATGGTTTGCATTGGGGATTGAACCCATGAAGATCCGGGGTAAAATAGGTCTTCAGCAACCCATGCTTGCCATAAAAGGCGACTATGCTTGTCGTAAGAGGCAACTAACGGGATCGGGTGGTCAGGCTCGCTGACTTGGTTGATGCTTGTCATCGTACCCCAATTGCGTAGATGGATGCTCATGATGTCAATCACTGGATTGTCTGGTCCAGACTTGAGTATTTACAGACCGCCTTCATATAGCTGGAATATTGCCGAGTGCGGCGTTTAACAACAAACAAACAAAAACACATGTGCACATATGTCCTCCAGTGTCAAACCGAACTCCCTCACTCACTCTTCCTGTTCCCCAGGCTCCCCGTCCACCTCCGCCAGTGACAAGTCCAGCATTGCTGACCGGGACCCCCACCATGAGGTCTCCCTGTCCCCCAAGAGCTCCAGCTCCTACGGTCTCTCGTCCATGTGCCTTGATAGCAGGGTCGACTCGAGCAAGATTGGGCTGAAAATGGGTCACGGTGAAGGTAACACCGCAACGTTAATGAAAGACTGGTTGGCCAAATGTGGGCCAAGCAAAGATGGGAAGGAGGTCAAAGATGGTGAAGATTTAACCCACAAAAGCTCCATTACTGGTAGGCTACTTCTTCTAATGATTTGAGGCCCGTGAAGATCCGGGGTAGAATAGGTCTTCAGCAACCCATGCTTGCGTAAAAGGCAACTATGCTTGTCGTAAAAGGCGACTAACAGGATCGGGTGGTCAGGCTCGCTGACTTGGTTGATGCATGTCATCGGTCCCAATTGCGTGGATCGATGCTCATTTTGTCAATCACTGGATTGTCTGGTCCAGACTCAATTATTTACAGATCGCCGTCATATAGCTGGAATACTGCTGAGTGCGGCGTTAAACAACAAACCAAACCAAACCAAATCTAATGATTTGAACTTTGAGATTATTTTGTTATTATGTAACAAAAAAAACTCTTCCCAATCCTGTGATGTTACTCGAATAACAACCTTCTGATCCCTGGTTGGATGTCTTGTCCACATGACAAAGAGGTTCACCCAGGATGTCATCTGTGGGATGACTCCCCACCCAGCTACATACTCCCCCATCAACAGAAGGCATGTCAGAGGTCAATTTATCTGCTGGCCCATTGGCCCGTGGTCAGTTAAAATTACAAAGGGCTTGCTGAATCGTAAATAAGATGGCCCATTTGGCCAGTCAAAATTACACCCCTTCTCCGTGTTTATTTAATTTTTTAATTGGACACTGCTCAATGAGAAAATATTTAGTGGGGATTAGGTCGAGTGAATGGTTACTCCGAGAAAGATACATGTCGATTATTTCGGTAGAATGACATTTTGTAATGTGTACAAAAGCATGGTTATTTTCTCATAAATCACCACAAAATGAGGCAAATGGAAGCCAAGATTTAACCATAAGAGTGCAGGAATAGGCAGGAATAGGCTTTTTAGGGGTGATTTCAGAGCCACACTATGTGGCTACGCGGCCTCCACCACTTAATTGTAGGTGAGTTAGTTTGTAGAAGGTCCAGTAGCTTTTAGAAGGAGCAAGCCCTGCTGGCTACATTCAGATTTGTTGTTAAATCTATCCCTGCAGGAACCAGACTGCATGGTAGGGGACTGATATTTATTTTGCTGGATTTGACCGTCTGGTCATACACATTGTCCACTTGACCAAAGATGTTAAGTCAGGAATCTGGCACTGTAAGGATGCCATCTGTGGGATGACTCCACACACTGCTACACTCAGATCCCATGTCCAATGAGACCCGTGAAGATTCCGGGGTAGAATAGGTCTTCAGCAACCCATGCATGCCGTAAAAGGCGACTATGCTTGTCATAAAAGGCGACTAACGAGATCGGGTGGTCAGGCTCGCTGACTTGGTTTGATGCATGTCATCGATCCCAATTGCGTGGATCCATGCTCATGATATTAATCACTGGATTGTCTGGTTCAGACTCGATTATTTTACAGACCGCTGTCATATAGCTGGAATATTGCTGAGTGCGGCGTTAAACAACAAACAAACAAACAAACAAACAAACAAACAAACCATGTCCAATGAGAATGGTGCTTCTGTTTTCAGATATGTTTACAGAGTCTTACTTTAGTTTTTTTTATATTATCCCCTGCCACAAAGTGGAAGGGGGATATCGGAATGGGTGCTGTCCAACCGTCCTTCTGTCCATCCATCACATTTTGTTTCCAGAGCAGAACTCAAAAACCATAAAAGATAATTATCTTAACCAAACTTGTCACATAGATAGGTCTGGTGGTAACGAATTTGACTTAGACTGAAAATGGCGATATTGTCGGGGGATATGAGTATTTCATGTTTGCTTTGTTGGATTTTTAACGGCATACTCAGCAATATTCCAGCTACGTAATCAAAATTTGACCCGGCAATCCAGTGATTGATCTCATGGGCATCAATCTACACAATTTGGATACGATGACATAATCCCTCAACTTACCTAGCCTGACCACCTGATCTGTTAGACACCTCTTATGACAAGTATTGTTTGCAAGGGATCCATAGTGTTACCCATATTCCCCCCGGATCCTCACTTTAGCACATCATGCTTGCTGTAAGAGCCAATTAAAAAGGGGTAAAGTTGGTCAGACTCTTGTCTAATAGCATGTCATCATTCCCTGATGCTTTGGATCTTCGTCCATGTTTCCAGTCACTGGTTCACAGGGTCCAAACTATATTATTTAAGGGCAGTAATGAGATAGAATATTGCTCACTGCAGCGTTTAACAACTCATATAAGAAGTTTTTGAATGGAATACCGGTCTTGTGAAATGCTATTACATGTTTTCTGCTGTATAACCTATGTCTCACCAGTACTGCATACACTGCCTATATGGTCTTCTAAACATGGCCTTGATCCATCTTCTCCACTGCACAACTCATTGCCAATGGCTGCAAAATTGCTAATGGAGATATCAGCTTTCTTCACTCACCCTTAAAAAGGTGACCCTTTCTCAGAACAGCAAAATATCCCAACATATAAAAAAAATTGAAAAAAAGAAAAATTGAAAAAAATTTGCATAGGATTAACTAGCCAAACATAGAGACTATGTAGGCTACTGGATGTGGTTGTCTGTGATACACTGTTTCCCAGGTGATGAAGGGGAGACAACTCAGTCATCCGCTGATGGGAGGTTGACTCCGACTTTCTCTGACCGCTCCAATTCCAGAGATGGGGTGCTCAGTGATATTCTCGGCTCTGAAATCCCGTTCTCCCCTGTGCTGTCTACTGCCGATGCATGTTCCAATTCCGACCTGGAAATAATTTCTCTTGCGTCCACAGCTGGTGCAAAGTCTAGGGACAGTTGGTCTCAGGACTCCCAGTGTGAAGGTCATGAAACTCAGTTGATCAAATGTGTAGCCACAATAGACAAGTCTATTGGCCAGAGTAGTGAGTGTGACAGTGTGGCTAAGAAATCGGACATGGACGTTGAGGATGTTGCGGAAGAAGCTGCTGATGGAGGCGCTGCGTCTTCCGTCGCCTACCCAGGCCCAAGTCACCAGAGTATGAACACTACAGAAGACAGTTCTGAGAATGATAGTGTTATTAATATATCAGACAGTGTGGATGGTTTATCTGACAGTGTCATCAACATTCAAGACACACCAGTCAGGAAGGACATCGGTGTGATAGACATTTCTGATATTGTTGAATTGGAGTCACCCAGGCGACTACCTCAGTTGTTGGACTCTGGTTTCGGAAGCTCTCGGAAGGTTTCTCATTCTTCAGATGTGCCGCTTGACCCGCTTGACCTCAGTGTGACAGACATGGACGATACAGACACTAGCAATACTGAAGAAGATGCAGGTGATGGAACTCATCTGAAAGCTGTAGACAGGCTCCAGACGTCCGATTCTGGGAATCAGATGAAACGTGAAGACGTCACTGACATCCCCACAGCTGCCTCTTCTGAAATCATAAAGCATGAAAGCCTAACTACCTCAAAGCAGCCTGGTTGCTTCAAAGAAACCATGAACCTAAACGACCAAGTGTTGGTCTCAGATAATATGAAAATGGAGCAAGATGTTCAACAGAGAATTGCCAAGAAACCAAATCAAGTTGCCGAATCTTCAAAGACCAGTGGAAAAAGTTCATCATGTGTCATAGTTGAGTCTGAGTCAGAATCCGAGTTTTACATCAGCTCCTCAGAGTCAGATGACCTGGAGGATTCCAGTGAGCAGATGGCGTCTGCTTCCACGTCTGCTTCAGTGTCTGCTTCCACGTCTGCTTCAGTGTCTGCCTCCACATCTGCTTCAGTGTCTACATCCACGTCTGCTTCTTTGGGGCAAGATCCTAGGCTGAAAGTTGCCGTTCAGATAGCGCAGGTTTCATCAAGTTCTCCAGACGTTGTGTTTCTGGGGAAGCGGGAAGCTCTCCCTCCTCAAGTCCTGCCCGTACAGTCCAGCCAAGCGGCGGCAACTTGTGACACTGTGAACTACAAGGAGCTGAAACATAGGTATCAGAGGATGAAAAATATAAAGAAACAATTTGAATTGTTGCCTGAGAAAACAAAGGCAGATCCTGTGTACTGTAAAAGGATTCACGAAACCTGTGAGCAGCTGAAAAGGGAAATACGAAAACAAAGACATGCCCGGCGGAAAAAGGTAGAGAAATATATCAAATCTTTAAAAGTGCACAAAATTGATATAGTTGATGGTTCAACTTTACGGGTCACCAATAAAAGAACTGACAAATCAGCTGACCGAGGATCTGTTCCAGCCTCACATACTACAGAGGCACATCAAGTTAATAATTCGCAATCAAGTTCTGCGCTGTCTTTTATGAAAATAATAGGAGAAGCTAGAAAACTTCTCACTGGAAAAGATAGCACAGAATCAAGGAGGCTGAGACCATCTTCACAAAAGTCCCTCCTGCAGCCATATTTGTCACTCAACACCACAGTCACGACTTGCACCACAGTCACGACCTGCACCACAGTCGTCTCAAGACTGTTAAATACATTAATCCCTCAGAATGTGTGGAATCCATCACTGCCCAATGTTGCGTCTGCTACCACAGGACCTAAAGTGGCAACAGGTACAACAGGACCTAAAGGGCTGACAAGTACCACGGGGCCCAAAATTCTGGTGGGTTCTGATGCTTTAGGTAGCACCTCTCCCTCTCTAGGCATTCCTCCTGCAGTACTGGCAAACCTTACCAAGGCCCCGGCTAATGTAAGCAAACCTCCAAGTGTATCTCATGTCCAATTGATAACTGTTCCTACAGCAACAACAGCCACAACAACAACAGCAGCAACACCCCCTACTTCAACAGCAAAGTCAAAGGAACTGGACGCAGAACTTCAGCAAGTGGTAAGAGCCTTAACTTTATTCAGTATCCACTTTTCAGTTAAGTGATCATTTTAATTTCAAGCTGAAAGACAAGTTATTTTGTCAGCCATGAAATATCTTGTCTTTACTGTTACTTACCAACTTCTGACACGTAAAGATCCGGGATAGAATAGGTCTTCAGCAACCCATGCTTGCTGTAAAAGGCGACTATGCTTGTCATAAGAGGCAACTAAAGGGATCGGGTAGTCAGGCTTGCTGACTTGCTTGATGCATGTCATCGATCCCAATTGCGTAGATCGATGCCCATGATGTCAATCACTGGATTGTCTGGTCCAGATTCGATTTATTTACAGCTATGTATTTTTCAATCCCGAAGATCCGGGATAAAATACGTCTTCAGCATAATCAGCAACCCACCCGTGAAGATCAGGATAGAATAGGTCTTCAGCAACCCATGCTTGCTGTAAAAGGCGACTATGCTTGTCGTAAGAGGCAACCAATGGGATCGGGTGGTCAGACTCGCTGACTTGGTTGATGCAATTGCGTGGATCGATGTTCATGATGTCAACCACTGGATTGTCTGCTCCGCCGTCATATAGCTGGAATATTGCTGAATGTGGCGTTAAACAACAAACAAACAAACAAACTTCTAAAAATGACAATAAAAAATGACTGTAACCATGGTAACAGTGAGTCTTGTTTGTAGATCTCCATCTTCCCGGATGTAGAAGTGAAGTGGGCCATGACGAAACTAAAGAGCTTGAGTGCCAAGCATCCAGATGACTTCCTCCTACGCATATGCTCTACAATGGCCGACGATGGCTACCAACGAAACCAGGGCCAATCAAAGAACAAGCCAAAAGGAAAAGGAAAAGGGAAGCACAAGTCTGTGAATGTTCGAGGGACGCTTGGTAAAATCAAGTCATCACAGAGGTATGCAGATGTTTTGTCTGAAATAGGAGAAGAGGAAAAAGTACGTCTTCAACGGAAACGTCAGTCCGAGGAGCTGATGGAGACAGAAGTACCTCCAAAGCTGAAAATTGTAAGTTTGTCTCAGCTGGAGCTGTGAACTCATGTGTTGACAGGTGTGATATCTGCTCTACATGTGTAGTACAATTATTCCTTTTATTCCGGGGGGCGGTCGGGCAGCCTGGTGGTTAAAGCGTTCGCTCGCCACGCCGAAGAGCCGGGTTCGATTCCCGACATGGGTACAATGTGTGAAGCCCATTTCTCGTGTCCCCCGCTGTGATGTTGCTTAAATATTGCTTAAAGCGGCCTAAAACCATACTCACTCACTCATTTTATTCCGGGTGACACAGGGCCCATCATCTTAGGCACATGAAGTCGCTGTGTAGAATTATTATTGGAGGTTTGTCAGCACCATACCCGTGCTTGTGGGTTTCAACCAAATCTGGGACTCATCACTTCGGGCTTTCCTCCAACGCAGTGTGCAAAATAAGTAGCCTGTGGCTGCCTTCTTTATTTCTGGCTAGTGAAAATGAAACCGACAACTGGCTGAGGTCATTAGTAGTTGACAGCATACTGCAGGACTCACATAGCAGAACAGTGTCTGAAACATGATGCATATACAACAGACAGGTGCCCCTCTCGACACAGGCCGAGGTCACCGCTTTGAACAGTGTTTAATTAGATTATGACTTATTGAGCATTTCATGTGGAAGGAAATCCCAAAGTTTTGCAAGTCTTAGTTGTTTATCACTGTGGTATGGTGCAGACAAACCTAGTAATATAAACAGTACAAATCAGTATTCAAAACCACGATCATAGGATTCTGGCATGCCTAAGGGACACAACTCTGCACAGTGAATTGCGGTGCCTTGAAAGAATGGAACAACCATGCCCCCTGTCATGAAGTATCATTCTTATTTTGAAAGTCTTGAAATTACATCCGTGTCATGAAAATACGATCTTGGGAAAGTTGAAAGTTGTTAAAACACTTACTTGTCAGCCCTCAGCCTAGTGAATGTTTTGGAAAATTTTCATCCTGAGTGGCGAGTGCTATGTGAAACTTGTGTCAATGAAATGTTATTCTACTTTTTCAGATGACTGATGGGATAGCGACAGAAACAGTCTCAAAGGGAGACAACAAAGATGATGTTGAAGCAAGGGAGACAAATCAGTCAGGTATGTACAAGGGGTACCAGACATGTTGGAGTCTGCATACATAGAACTAAACAAAAGCTTAATTATTTTTTAAAAGTCTGCAGTTCAGAATATTTGGTCTCTCTCCCTGTGTTTTAGAAGGTCAAATTCTGGTCTCTCAAACAGCCCTCCACGGCAGCAAACAACTCTTTGGCACTGCTAAATCTCTGACCACCCAGTTGGTTTCAAATTTGAAAACACATGGTCGTGGGTAAGGATGTGTTGAAGAGGTGGTTGGTGTCAAAGTTCATATCCACATTCCCATACAGCAGCCATTGCAAAATGACTGTACCCATGAAGATCCAGTGTAAAATAGGTCTTAAGCAACCTGGCTTGCCGTTATAGGCAACTTTGCTTGTTGTAAGAGGCAACTAATAGGATCGGGTGGTCAGGCTCACTGAAACGAAATGTTGTGTTCCTCATAAGAAAGAAGTTGACATCCATCAATTCTCTTCCTTAGGTGGGTTAAGTTTGGTATTATTCCTACATATTCTCACAATCCTCTCATCGATTATCTGTACCTTTTCTCCCAATACAGATTGTCATATCTCTCCCACTTCTGGGTGCGTTTGTTTGGCCACTGCGTTTATCTGCGTACCCCAGCTACATCTTTGGGGGACAACTCACTAGACACTTCCCTTTAAAAAATAACGTTGTCCAATTTACGACGTCATCAGGTTAAGAGTGCATGTTCGAATCTCGAATGACGTCATGACAGAACAATGTTTTATCATGAAATAAACCCTGCTTTGTTCTTTATTGTTCTTTGCGATTTATCTCGTAGCTATCTTGTACGAGGGGTGTTCATTAAAGATTTCCCCTGATCCACTTCCGATGGACCTAGTGGAATGAAACTTGGCATAGATATTATTCTTTCTCCACATAGGAACCACCAAGAGTTACACACTTCTCCCATCGTTTCATGCAACTATGGAGACCTCACTTGTAAAAGCCCTCATTTTGCGTCTCAAACCAGGACTTGACTTCAGAAATCAGTGTTTCATCATCTGTGAAACATTTTCCCTTCAAAAATGACTTCATGGTTGGAAAGAGGTGGAAGTCAGATGGTGTAAGGTCAGGAGAGTAAGGAGGATGTGGAAGGATTTCATAGCCACAGGACCGCGCTTCTGTCTGGGCAACATGAGAGTTGTGTACTGGAGCATTGTCTTGCAGGAGACGGACACCCTTGGTCAGCATGCCACGCCTCTTAAGCTTGATAGCGTCCCGCAATTTCCGCAGCAGTGAAGAATAATAAGCTCCTGTAATTGTGGTACCCTTTGCCAAGAAATCCATCATCACTACTCCGTGCTGGTCCCAAAACACAGTGAGTATGACCTTGCCTGCAGAGGGTTGGACACGTGCCTTCTTTGGGGGTGGTGACTCCACATGCTTCCATTGCATCGACTGATCTTTAGTCTCAGGATCATAGTGATGGACCCATGTTTCATCCTGTGTGATAAGTCTGTCAAAAAAGTTTGCCTGGTTTTTTTGGCACATGTCCAAAAGATCCTTTGAGCAATTGACTCGTTCCTGCTTTTGGAAAGGTGTGAGCAACCTGGGAATCCATCGTGCAGACACCTTATGCATGTTCAAATTGTCATGGATGATTTTTTCCACAGACCCTACACTGATCTTGACATCTTGTGCTAACTGGCGAACAGTTATACGTCAGTCTGCCAAAATGGATAGTGTCCTCATCAATGGCTGAATGGGGGCGACCAGGAATGGCAGCTGTTTCCACAGATGTCCGACCACACTTGAACTGGCGATGCCAGTGTTTAACAACGTCATATGATGGGGCATCTTCCCCATAAGTTGCTTTCATTTCATCGAAAGTTTCTTTTGGTGTGCGACCTTTCAAATATAAAAACCTAATCACTGCTCGGTATTCTACTGGCTCCATTGTCACACCCTACTCGATCATAACACCTATAAAAGTGGTAAGATTAATAGTTCGGTGCTGCAAATTCAGACATAACCCATAGATACATGTATCATTACACATGTGAAATTTCAACCAAATATGATAACCCTAAGTGGTTTAGGGGAAATCTTTAATGAACACCCCTCGTATATCTGGATAACAGGCATTAGAGGTGGTGACTCGCGTGGCCTTCATTTCATCTGATAGCATTCTGGGTACAATGTGTGAAGCCCACTTCTGGTGTCCCCTGCCGTGATATTGCTGGAATGTTGCTAAAAGTGGCGTAAAACCATACTCACTGACTCACTCACTCACTCTGACAGCATTCAAGGAGCACATTGTGGCAGACCTTTGACATCTGCAGATGTTCATGAAGGATTCTATTGGGGAAGTCTGTTGTCTTCTCTAACGCTTGGAGTGTAATGTGCCTATTGTTCTGTACTACGTTCTGGACAGCATCAAAGCTTCCTTTTGTGGAGGGGCGGTCTGGTAGCCTAGTGGTTAAAGCATTCGCTCGTCACGCCGAAGACCCAGGTTCGATTCCCAACATGGGTACAATGTGTGAAGCCCATTTCTGGTGTCCCACGCCGTGATATTGCTGGAATATTGCTAAAAGTGGCGTAAAACCATACTCACTCACTCACTCCTTTTGTGGAGCTTGTGGTGGTTGACCAGAACAGGGTGTCATCTTCCTGACTTTCTCTCTCAGGGTGAAATTCCTTCACCAACATATAGTTGTGACATATGATGTGAAAGCCTCCCCACAAACAGCATGCCACAGTTCATCAGTATTCTTTGGGGATTTACCCTCTCGGGTAAACAGGTACACAGTCGTCTAAGGCTCCGCAAGTCGCTGTGCATGTTCGCTGTGAAACTTATGACTGTAGGTTTGAATCCTGGTTGGCCCCTATGTGAGTCCTGCAGTATGCTGTCAACTACCACTGACCTCAGTCCGTGTCGAGAGGGGCACCTGTCTGATGTATATACATTATGTTTCAGACACTGTACTGCGATGTGAGTCCTGCAGTATGCTGTCAACTACCACTGACCTCAGTCCGTGTCGAGTGGGGCACCTGTCTGATGTATATACATTATGTTTCAGACACTGTACTGCGATGTGAGTCCTGCAGTATGCTGTCAACTACCACTGACCTCAGTCTGTGTCGAGAGGGGCACCTGTCTGATGTATATACATTATGTTTCAGACACTGTGTTTCGCCTGCAATGTGAATCCTGCAGTATGCTGTCAACTACCACTGACCTCAGTCAGTGTCGGGAGGGGCACCTGTTGTGTCGGGCATGTATAGAGAAACAGGTCAAAGTTGTCCTCTCTCAGGAAATCGAGGTGAGGATGCTGTATGATAAAGGGCGTGTTTTCCGCCCTGATTTTAGCATGTATTCAAATAATTAACTTCTAAATTTTTTCGGCCGCCTCCGTGGTCTTGTGGTAGAGCGTCCGCCTGGAGAGCGGAAGGTCCGGGGTTCGATCCCCGGCCGCGTCATACCAAAAGACGTTAAAAAATGGTACTTGTTGCTACCCTGTCTGGCGCTCTGCATTAAGGGGCTAAAACAAGAACTGGTCAGCTCGGAGTCAATATACTGTGTCTGAGTGGGGTATTCATGTTAAACTGCGGCATGGTATCTCAGTGAACTAGCACTATAAATCGGCATCAGTCCGGACTAGTACAAGCAGCCACGCAAACACGTGCATGCACGTTGCTATATAAGTGCAATAATCCTGGATGCGACGTTGAACCCAATTTCACCTCACCTCTAAATATTTTCACTCACTACAACTTTAAGTAATTATTGTAATGACTGAAATATCACCTTGGGTCACAGGCTTGCTCATGCTGAAAAATCTTAAATGCTTTCCAAAACTTCTCATGTCTGCCTGTTTCACACATTCAAGTTAAACAATTTGTTTTGATGGTCCTATAAGCTCAATTTTAAAGTTTTAGAAAGGGATAATGCTAGCTTTTAGTCACAGGAATTGTTTCAGTGATTTCTCTCCAAATTTGTTTTACAATTGATTAACTGTTTCTAAAATGTAAAATATTTTTCATTGAATGTTTGCTGTGTTGTGAGATTGTCACATTTGATGTTCCATGGTTTTGTTTTCAGACCATCATAATTTGCCCTTTGAAGGACTGCAATAGTGAGATCCGGTTAAGTAAGTTCCCCCTAGACAGCCATTGGAACAACTGTAGAAATTCCTGTTCAGAAAAGATTCTCAGTCCCCTTGCGTGGGTGTATGAGATGCCTAAAATTGGGATTTGATGGACACTGTTGTTTCACTATTGTGGTACTGTTGTGGCACTATTGTGGCACTATTGTGGCACTACTGAGGCACTACTGAGGTACTATTGTGGCACTATTGTGGCGCTAGTCTGGTACTATTGTGATGATATTGTGTCACTATTGTGGTACTATTGTGACACTATTGTGGCACTATTCTGGTACTATTGTGACACTATTGTGACACTATTGTGGTACTATTGTGGTACTATTGTGACACTATTATGGTGCTATTATGGCACTATTGTGATTATATTGTGGCACTATTCTGGTACTATTGTGACACTATTATGGTGCTATTATGGCACTATTGTGATTATATTGTGGCACTATTCTGGTACTATTGTGACACTATTGTGACACTATTGTGGTACTATTGTGGTACTATTGTGACACTATTATGGTGCTATTATGGCACTATTGTGATTATATTGTGGCACTATTGTGGTACTATTGTGACACTATTGTGGTACTATTGTGGTACTATTGTGGCACTATTGTGGCACTATTTTGGCAAAATTCTGGTACTATTGTGATGATATTGTGTCACTACTGAGGCACTATTGTGGTACTATTGTAGCAGTATTGTGGCACCATTGTGGCGCTACTGTGGCACTATTGTGACACTATTGTGATGATATTGTGTCACTATTGTTGAACTATTGTCGTACTATATATATATGGCGATAATATTTTCAAAGTATAATGAGTATGGAAAGGCAGTTTTCATGACTTTATTTAGCATTGTGCCATGTTTAGTATTGCCTAGGTCCTGTAGATGCTTGGGATGTGATGCAGTTGCGGAGGCTTGCACTGATTAGGTCTGTATGAAGTTAGGGACAGGCTCTCGTCAAGCAAAGTGTAGTCAAATAGGAATGGAACGTACTAACTGTTCATCGTCAATATTTTGTAATGTTTTTAAATATACAGAAACTGTTGATTGAGAAATAGTTGATAAAACCATGGCCCCATTCCAAGACTTGTGACGTATTATCGTCATGATGCTGATGTCGCTTTGTGGAACGGGGTTCTGGGCCCTGTTCCGCAAAGCGATCGCAGCTCTAAGACGATCGTAACTCCCATACTTAACATAGACTAACGACCGTCGTAGTGCTACAATCTCTTTATGAAACAGGACCCTCGACCATGCTTGGCCTAATGAAAGTTTGCACAGATGATCTTATCAATAATGTCACTCTCAACACCAGCATTTCATTACTTGCAGCTGACGCAAAGAAGGTCTTGCCACAGTTTGTGGTGGATCTGCTTCGGGAGAAGATAGAAAAACAGGAACGGCTCTGCATAAGCAAGATGGGCAAGGTTGTAACGTAAGTGAATAATGGGCAAGGTAGTCAGGTATGTCAATGATGGACAAGGTCGTCTGGTATGTCAATGATGGACGAGGTCGTCTGGTATGTCAATGATGGATAAGGTTGTCTGGTATGTCAATGATGGACAAGGTCGTCTGGTATGTCAATGATGGATAAGGTTGTCTGGTATGTCAATGATGGACAAGGTCGTCTGGTATGTCAATGATGGATAAGGTTGTCTGGTATGTCAATGATGGACGAGGTCGTCTGGTATGTCAATGATGGATAAGGTTGTCAGGTATGTCAATGATGGACGAGGTCGTCTGGTATGTCAATGATGGATAAGGTTGTCAGGTATGTCAATGATGGACAAGGTTGTCAGATATGTCAATGATGGACAAGGTCGTCTGGTATGTCAATGATGGATAAGGTTGTCAGGTATGTCAATGATGGACAAGGTCGTCGGGTATGTCAATGATGGATAAGGTTGTCAGGTATGTCAATGATGGACAAGGTCGTCGGGTATGTCAATGATGGATAAGGTTGTCAGGTATGTCAATGATGGACAAGGTGGTCGGGTATGTCAATGATGGATAAGGTTGTCAGGTATGTCAATGATGGACAAGGTGGTCGGGTATGTCAATGATGGATAAGGTTGTCAGGTATGTCAATGATGGACAAGGTCGTCTGGTATGTCAATGATGGATAAGGTTGTCAGGTATGTCAATGATGGACAAGGTTGTCAGATATGTCAATGATGGACAAGGTTGTCGGGTATGTCAATGATGGAAAAGGTCGTCTGGTATGTCAATGATGGACAAGGTCGTCAGATATGTCAATGATGGACAAGGTCGTTGGGTATGTCAATGATGAACATGGCTGATTAGTGGATAAGAAAGTTCCCCTGATGCAACTTCTTGTCGAGGTTTCTCCCAATCGCCATCAAGAGCGCTGTTATTTTGGAGTAAAAGAACTGATTTTAATGAAATTGACATAGGATCGATTGAGTGAACTCCCAATCATGATCAAGCTGACCATACAATTTGGAGCAAGTGATAGTAAGCCTGCATGTTCTGATATTGTTTCAGTTGTCCTGATTGTGGTCTGAGTGTGATGATGGATGCCTGGGACAAGCAGTTCCACTGTCCCAACACAGACTGTATGCTGGTGAGTAGCACTTTGCACAGATAACATTCTTCCTTGTAGGGGGACAACCAATCAGTGTAGTTGACTGTTGCACAGATAACGTGGGTGGATTTCTTCCTTGTAGGGGGACAACCAATCGGTGTAGTTGACTTTTGCACAGATAACATGGGTGGATTTCTTCATTATAGGGGGACAACCAATCGGTGTAGTTGACTTTTGCACAGATAACATGGGTGGATTTCTTCATTGTAGGGGGACAACCATTCGGTGTAGTTAAATGTTGCACAGATAACATGGGTGGATTTCTTCCTTGTAGGGGGACAACCAATCAGTGTAGTTGACTGTTGCACAGATTACAGGGGTGGAATTCTTCATTGTAGGGCGACAACCAATCGGTGTAGTTGACTGTTGCAAAGATAACATGGGTGGATTTCTTCCTTGTAGGGGGACAAACAATGGGTGTAGTTGACTGTTGCACAGATAACATGGGTGGATTTCTTCCTTGTAGGGGGACAAACAATGGGTGTAGTTGACTGTTGCACAGATAACATGGGTGGATTTCTTCATTATAGGGGGACAACCAATCGGTGTAGTTGACTGTTGCACAGATAACATGGGTTGATTTCTTCATTGTAGGGGGACAACCAATGGGTGTAGTCGACTGTTGCACAGATAACATGGGTTGATTTCTTCCTTGTAGGGGGCAACCAATGGGTTCCACAGATAACATCAGTGTTCATGATGACTTTGATTTGAAAAGAACATTTTTAAAGATATCCTTTCTCATACTATGTTTTCTTCCTTCTTCTTTTGATCCTATCATAGGAAGGGAAGAAGAAGGAAGAAATGCATAGTTTGAGATAGGATAAGTATAAGTATAAATAAAGAATTTTTTTATAAAATTTACAATTTTTACTTTCCAGGTATATGAAGAAATATATTATAAATTGGACATCTCTTATGTATCATTTTGTTGTGAAAAATATACAAGAAAATATTTTTCGTTGTTTAAGAATTAAATAAACACATTTTAGTCAGAAAACTTGCGTGATATGTTTCGAGAAAATTATCAAACCAGGAAAAAGGGGTTTGGAAGGCAAGTACAGCATGTAATTAAACTAATTCATGAGTTGATTCTTCTAGGCCAGTTGCCGGTACTGCAAGAGAGCGTGGAATGATGGTCGCCATGACAACTGCACCCCACTCCTCTGTGTCCCTAGCCTTGATGACTGCACCAAGTACCCCAGCTACTGGGACCCCTGCACAATGGGGCCTAATGAGGTTTGTAGCATGCCGTTCACTTATCTCCCTTTGAGGTTCCAGAAACCGATGATTGTGGTTCGACTCCATTATGTTTCAAGGTGTGTCAGGGGGCACGGGTGTCCCAGTCGTGAGGCGCTGCGATTTGCTGTGCAGAGTTGCATCCCTTGGGATTGCCAGAAACCTATGATAGTGGATTCGAATCCTGATTCGCCCCGATTATGTTTCTAGGTTTGTCAGCACCATACCCATGCTCGTGGGTTTCACAGAAGTGGTAAACGTCTGAGACCTGCATCACTTTGGGCTTTCCTCCCACATTAAGCTGACACGCCGTGATATAGCTGGAATACTGTTATATTTAGGACCTTCACTTGCTCCTCCTGGGCTTGTTCCTTAATTTTTCCTATCTTTCTGAACTCCGCATCCTCTGAATTTGCCGAACAACCGATCCTGAATTTTGTTCACATGGTCAGTCAGCACAATCCTTTCCTCGTCGGTCCAGTTTGGCCTCTGTTTCAGCCATCGCAGAGATTTCAGCAGACGACAAAAAGTCATCACGTCTTTCGTGTTTACATTGGAAACTGAAGTCAAATCTCGCACCGAGGCTGCTTACATCGCTTAAAAAACAAACTGAGATTGATCTCAAATGCTGAGTTATTAACTCAGCCCAGTTTTGTATGAGTTTGATTTGATAAACACTGTTGAGTTAAAAATTCAGCTGTGTTGTTTTTGCAAACTCAGTTTGAGATTTAAGTTAAAACTTAAATTTGTTTTGAGAATTCAGGGCCTGCTTCAGTTTGGGTTTTAGGGCAGCAAGTTCACGTCTTGATGTAACTGAAATACTGTTCAAAGAGACAAAGAGATGTTTAACCAAACAATCTCACTCCCACTCATATTCACTGATTTACCTTGCACTACCTCACATAACGATTTCTACTTAGATACTTAATGTGTGTGTGTGTGTGTGTGTGTGTGTGTGTGTGTGTGTGTGTGTGTGTGTGTGTGTGTGTGTGTGTGTGTGTGTGCAAGAAGAAGTGTGTGTCTAATAGGGCTGGCTATTGATATAGATTATAGAGATCGATAATCGCTAACTAAATGTCGATCACTTGTTGATAAATATCGAAGTAACTTTAAGCAAATATGCAAGAAAGGCCAGAAAGAAATCAACATATTTCACACCTGGTGTGCAGTGACACATTTGTGCATGGATAACTTTGTGCGCATTTGAGATATAACAAAAAAAGTTGCTTTCTGTTGACATGATTGACAATAACATGTCTGTTTCGGTAAATCTAAACTTTATTTCATCACAATAGTTCATGTAACTTATAATCGATGACAACAATTTCATATTGATAATCGTTAATTTTTCTTCCCATCAACGATAGTTCTGATTATCAATCTTCTTAGCCCGCCCTAGTGTCTAACTTGTGTCAAAAATAGGCTTTTGTAGTATTTTGCGATTAAATTTTGCAAGGAGATAGGTGTTGAGTCAACCTAGCCCAGGAAAATACAGCAGGAAATGAGAGGTTATGGAACCAGTAAAGCACATATGGCAGAGAACTCAATAAATATGCACAAGTTGAAGTGCGGGAGTTTATGATTGAATGGATTTTGTGTCTTAACAGGATTACCTGAGGAAGATTGTACCCCATGATTCTATGGAGTTCAATCTGATAAAGGCCAAGTTCCTGAAGACGATGCAGAACTATACTATAGTGTACCTGACCCGCATCCAGAACCCTAAGCTGTGGCAGAAGTATGGTCTGTGAGTATTTAGAAGAACAAGCCAAACTATTTGGGAAGCCATTCATTACACTTCTTTCCTGCAGCAATCTTCTCAAGAATTTTAGTTATCTATGACCTGTAAATATTCCTTCAGAACAATCTGGAGCAATCTTCTCAAGAATGTTAGTATCCATCACCTGTAAGTATTCCTTCAGAACAATTTGGAACAATCTTCTCAAGAATGTTAGTTATTCATGACCTGTAAGTGTTCCTTCAGAACAATCTGCAGCAATCTTCTCAAGAATGTTAGTTATTCATGACCTGTAAATATTCCTTTAGAACAATCTGCAGCAATCTTCTCAAGAATATTGCCCTGTGGATTCAACATGATGCCCTGTAGGTCCAATATGATGCCCTGTAGGTCCAATATGATGCCCTGTAGGTCCGATATGATGCCCCTTTAGGTCCAATATGATGCCCTGTAGGTCCAATATGATGCCCTGTTAAATATGAAGCCCTGTAGGTCCAATATGATGCCCTGTAGGTCCAATATGATGCCCTGTGGGTCCAATATGATGCCCTGTAGGTCCGATATGATGCCCTGTGGGTCCAATATGATGCCCTGTTAAATATGAAGCCCTGTAGGTCCAATATGATGCCCTGTAGGTCCAATATGATGCCCTGTGGGTCCAATATGATGCCCTGTAGGTCCGATATGATGCCCTGTAGGTCTGATATGATGCCCTGTTCAATATGATGCCCCGTGGGTCCAATATGATGCCCTGTAGGTCCAATGTGATGCCCTGTAGGTCCAATATGATGCCCTGTGGGTCCAATATGATGCCCTGTTGGTGCAATATGATGCCCTGTTGGTCCAATATGATGCCCTGTAGGTCCGATATGATGCCCTGTGGGTCCGATATGATGCCCTGTAGGTCCAATATGATGCCCTGTAGGTCCAATATGATGCCCTATGGGTCCAATATGATGCCCTGTAGGTCCAATATGATGCCCCGTTGGTCCAATATGATGCCCTGTGGGTCCAATATGATGCCCTGTAGGTCCAATATGATGCCCTGTTGGTCCAATATGATGCCCTGTAGGTCCAATATGATGCCCTGTTGGTCCAATATGATGCCCTGTAGGTCAATTATGATGCCCCGTAGGTCCAATATGATTCCCTGTATGTCCAATATGATGCCCTGTTGGTCAAATATGATGCCCTGTGGGTTGAATATGATGCCTTGTGGGTCCAATATGATGCCCTGTTCAATATGAAGCCCTGTGGGTCGAATATGATGCCCTGTTCAATATGATGCCCTGTAGGTCCAATATGATGGCCTGTAGGTCCAATATGATGCCCTGTTGGTGCAATATGATGCCCTGTTGGTCCAATATGAAGCCCTGTTGGTCCAATATGAAGCCCTGTTGGTCCAATATGAAGCCCTGTTGGTCCAATATGAAGCCCTGTGGGTCCAATATGATGCCCTGTAGGTCCCCGCCACCATCATTTAGATAAGCATTACAATGTTTTTTGTAAGGATAAGACTGGATATTCATGATATGAGTATACTTATCCTGACACAACAAGACTCAGGCCTAGCTGGCCAGTCCCTGTCTGGCCGGTCCCTGTCTGGCCGGTCACTGTCTGGTCAGTCCCTGTCTGGCCGGTCCCTGTCTGGCCTGGTCACTGGCTGGCCTGGTCACTGGCTGGCCGGTCCCTGTCTGGCCTGGTCATTGTCTGGCCGGTCCCTGTCTGGCCTGGTCACTGTCTGGCCGGTCCCTGTCTGGCCTGGTCACTGTCTGGCCGGTCCCTGTCTGGCCTGGTCACTGTCTGGCCGGTCCCTGTCTGGCCTGGTCACTGTCTGGCGGTCCCTGGCTGGCCGGTCCCTGTCTGGCCTGGTCACTGTCTGGCGGTCCCTGGCTGGCCGGTCCCTGTCTTGCTTGGTCACTGGCTGGCCGGTCCCTGTCTGGCCTGGTCACTGTCTGCCCTGGTCACTGGCTGGCCGGTCCCTGTCTGGCCTGGTCACTGTCTGGCCTGGTCACTGTCTGGCCGGTCCCTGTCTGGCCTGGTCACTGTCTGGCGGTCCCTGGCTGGCCTGGTCACTGGCTGGCCGGTCCCTGGCTGGCCTGGTCACTGTCTGGCCGGTCCCTGTCTGGCCTGGTCACTGTCTGGCGGTCCCTGTCTGGCCTGGTCACTGGCTGGCCGGTCCCTGTCTGGCCTGGTCCCTGTCTGGCCTGGTCCCTGTCTGGCCTGGTCACTGGCTGGCTGGTCCCTTTCTGGCCTGGTCACTGTCTGGCGGTCCCTGTCTGGCCTGGTCACTGTCTGGCCGGTCCCTGTCTGGCGGTCCCTGGCTGTCCTGGTCACTGGCTGGCCGGTCCCTGTCTGGCCTGGTCATTGTCTGGCCGGTCCCTGTCTGGCCTCGTCACTGTCTGGCCGGTCCCTGTCTGGCCTGGTCACTGGCTGGCCTGGTCACTGGCTGGCCGGTCCCTGTCTGGCCTGGTCACTGTCTGGCGGTCCCTGGCTGGCCGGTCCCTGTCTGGCCTGGTCACTGTCTGGCGGTCCCTGTCTGGCCTGGTCACTGTCTGGCGGTCCCTGGCTGGCCGGTCCCTGTCTGGCCTGGTCACTGGCTGGCCGGTCCCTGTCTGGCCGGTCCCTGTCTGGCCGGTCCCTGTCTGGCCTGGTCACTGTCTGGCGGTCCCTGTCTGGCGGTCCCTGTCTGGCGGTCCCTGGCTGGTCGGTCCCTGGCTGGTCGGTCCCTGTCTGGCCTGGTCACTGGCTGGCCGGTCCCTGTCTGGCCTGGTCACTGTCTGGCCGGTCCCTGTCTGGCCTGGTCACTGTCTGGCATGTCCCTGTCTGGCCGGTCCCTGTCTGGCCGGTCCCTTGCTGGCCGGTCCTTGGCTGGCCGGTCCCTTGCTGGCTGGTCTCTGGCTGGCTGGTCCCTGTCTGTATATCTGTCACGGACAGATCACTGCCAAATTGTCACCAAGGGCAAGGTGCACCTTGGAGGTAGAAGAGGTACATTTTGGGTTCTGTTTTATATGATCGAAGTTAAGAAGGAAATTGCAATATGTGAGGTCACATATGTATACTAATATCATGAATTTCCAAGTTCATGTAATATTGTAGTGAGGGATATATTTTGTTCTTATTAATTCATCAAATACAACATGTTAATTTTTAAGTACATTTTTCCTATTCCTATTTCTTTGAGTATTCCTGTTTGATCACTTATTTGTTAATAGTAAATACTAAATTGAAATACAAAATACCGATTAAGGTTCATGCGTGTTTGTCAGAACCAATTGATATAAAAGCCTCTTGAACCGTTTGCTGTTTGTCTTGTAGGACCAGGTCTCACATCCTGGAGGACTTCGGTCCGCCGAAACTCAACGAGAACCATCTGTTCCATGGCACTGACCCCACTGCCATAGATGCTATATGCAAGGAGGGCTTTGACTGGAGGCTGTGTGGTGCCCATGGGTCATCTTTTGGACAAGGCAAGTCGTCTTGCTTTCTGACAGTAAAGATATGAGAAGGACGTTTTAATAATATGCAACATGTTCATCTTGTGTGATGCATCGTTGTCACTGAGAAACATTATCTGAGACCTGGTGCCTGTTCAACACAGGATTCTTCCATTCTGTCTCATATTTTCTGTGATTAGTGGTGTAATGATACAGTATTGTATCCCGACACAAGGCCCATGCTACAATAATAGAGGTTAATATATGGCAGGTTTCAAGTCATACCCCAGAAAAAACCTAGACCCCCTATCTGACCAGGGCGAGGGTATGATATGAAAACTGCCATATAATAACCTTTTCAGCATATGATATAACATAACATTGTAAAATGTATCTATTTGCAAGTAAATACAAAACAGTTTCACCTTGTTTGGAAGTCATTGTCACGGGAAAGCTAGCTGAGCAGATGAGCAGACGACACACCAAGGGAATTAACTCTAATTTCTTACCAGCTGGACTGATATCGTTTACCCATTCAAAATGCATTGACAAGCCATATCAGCCCTGCGGTGGTCTGGTTATTACACCCCCTGTGATATGACAGTCTCCATGTTGGCTCTATCAAACTGCCTAGTATCATTGATGGGTATATGATAAATTGATTTCCAACCCCTGTATCACAATACAAACTATACATTGATTACATTACAAGTAACATTGGTAAAAAAACCTGTGAAAAATAACAAATTTTTAATATGGTGGACAAAAATGTTCGACAAGCTTTTGATTCTCTAGTATTTCCTGGTTGGTTATAAATAGCATAACATTCACAGTGTTTCTCTGAAATTTAAAAACAAATGATTCAATGTTGTGATTCAGTGTTGTGATTCATCTGTGAAAAGAAAGAATGTCAACTTATGAAATAAACTGCCATGTCGGGATATGATATATGTATCGTAACGTATCGTATCGTATCGTATCGTAGTATCGTATCGTATCGTATCGTATCGTATCGTATCGTATCGCATCTCATCTCATCGCAGTTTGTAAGTACCATACCCAATCTTTCATAACTTACATCAATGAGAATGACCTGCATCACTTTCCCTCCGACAAGCTGAGCTTACAGGTCATGATAAAACTTAAATTTGGTGCAAAATTGCATCAACCCAAACTCATTCACTCACTCTAGTTGACATTGAAATCTGATGTCACTGTGAGAGGACGTTGTCACAATGTGTGAACAATACTGAAAATGGCGGTAGTCCTCGTTTCCGGAGCAGATCTTGAAAACCGTACCATATTTCTTCAACAAACTTGGCACATAATGTCATCTTGCAGTATTGAATACATTGCCTTTCTTGTTGGTAAGTTCTGCATTGCTTGTGTGTATGTTCCTCCAAAGTGTCATGGACACAGTTGTTGCATTCACTGACTAACTTCATGCAGAAACAACTCATTACAGATACAACAGTGTAACTGATCTTAAACCTACTCAATTGTATAAACACTGCGTTCTATCCTGTATATATTCTTGTCAACCATACTCACTTGCTTGATAACAGTGTTAGAACCTACACCGAAACCATCGATCCTAATTGTAATGAAGTTGTTCGTCCATATGTCTCATCCCTACTCATTACAGTTGCATATTCTATCATAAACTGCATATGGCAAAACAACCCTAACTAACTAACTAACTAACTAACTAACTAACTAACTAACTAACTAACTAACTAACTAACTAACTAACTCACTCACTCACTCACTCACTCACTCACTCACTCACTCACTCACTCACTCACTCACTCACTCACTCACTCACTCACTCACTCACTCACTCACTCACTCACTCACTCACTCACTCACTCACTCACTCACTCTTCCAGGGTCCTACTTTGCTGTTGAAGCCCACTACTCCCACAGCTACGTCCAGAACATCATGCACGGCGCCCACTACCACCGCAACAGGAGGAACGCTCCGTTCTTCCACGGCCACTACCTGCTGTTGATAGCCCGCGTTGTGTGTGGACGCTACACTCTCGGCAACACCACCATGAGGCGGCCGCCTGTCGACCCCAGTGACACCAAACGGAGACCCTTCAATTCAACAGCCAACAGTATGAATCAGCCGGGGATATATGTGACGTTTGATAGTGCCCAGAGTTACCCAGAATATGTCCTAGAGTACAAGTCATAAGTAAGTTGGTAGTGGAGACCCGTGAAGATCCGAGTTAGAATAGGTCTTCAGCAACCCATGCATGCCGTAAAAGGCGACTAACGGGATTGGGTGGTCAGGCTCGCTGACTTGGTTGAAGCATGTCATTGTATCCCAATGGATCGATGTTCATGATATCAAGGGGCGGTCGGGTAGCCTAGTGGTTAAAGCGTTCGCTCGTCACACCAAAGACCTGGGTTCCATTCCCGACATGGGTACAATGTGTGAAGCCCATTTCTGGTGTCCCCCACCGTGATGTTGCTGGAATATTGCTAAAAGAGGCGTAAAACCATACTCACTCACTCATGATATCAATCACTGGATTGTCTGGTCCAGACTCGATTATTTACAGACCGCTGTCATATAGCTGGAACATTGCTGAGTGCGGCGTTAAACAACATGAAACTGATACTGGTAGTGGAACCCCGCTTATCCTGACACTTGCCTTTTTCAAGGAATCGACTGGATAACAATTTCAGGATATGTAAACTGATCAGAGTTAGCTCCCATTCCCAACTCAATAACGAAAAGCTAACTGATAGATTAATTCAAACATCAAACCCCTGTCAAATTCATAATTGATAGTTGTTGCCCTATAAGAATTAGATAAATAATACAGAGCTCCAGATAACTTTTTGAGCAATTGAGTTTCTATGCTAGGGTTTCTATTTTAATTGGGTTATTACATTTTTCATTGGGAAACCAATATTATTACACTCATCTATCCATCACTTTATTGGGTTTTTCAAAAATTAGTGAACATTTTAAGATTTAAAAAAAAAATATAATGTTTTAGATGTATATAACTGTTCTAAATATATAAGCTTGACTCGGAAAGTAAATTAGCTCATAATTAGCTTTGTACGCATTCTGAAAAAGCTTCAATGGGTATTTACACATGCTGTTTTTATACATTTGAGTTCTTCATTTAATGCATGTGTTTCTGTACACAATTTAATTGAAAGTATTTGGGTTTTGAATATTTTGGGGGAGTATTTTGCTGCTTATCTGTAGCTCTGATAATATCTTTCCAAAGTGTATCTTACTCCGCTACACACCCTTTTGATGTGGGCTGTCTCTTTCTGTGTGATGGCCTACTACACAAACATCGTCACTCACACCTGTGCGTGGAGCATAATACCGTGCAAGTGCACTGCAGGTTCATGAAATTCAAGGTCCAGTTTCGAAAACAGATTTCCGGAGCAAAGTAATTTTTGGTTCATAAAAGTTGTCCGGTAGGAAGGATTTCCAGATTAGTGGTGTGTGGTTCCTCTGTAGCAGGGTTCCTCTGTACCTCAGATCTTGTCCTTCAGTGTGATGGTTCTACAGAATATCCTTGAAAGTCCCCGGGTCTTCCTGAGGGAAAACCTGTAAAGTGGGTTTTACATGTTTTGAATTTCCCTCATTAGAGATGTATTTTGCTATTGAACCCAACCTACCAAACACACATTATACCCATTGTACCTAACGCACATTTTGCTAACATAGTTAAATGTGTGTTATTATTTAAATTCAAACAACAAGTGTTACTTCTCTTTTATTTGTATTGAACTTGAGACCTTTGTATTTGTAGCCTAGTGAGTGAACCACAATGCTTTTGAGAAGTATGTGTGCCTGCGAGATATAGATTAAGTCTGTTTCCTAAGGGCAGGTGGGGTAGCTTAGTGGTTAAAGTGTTCACTCGTCATGCCAAAGACCTGGGTTCAATTCCCCACAAGGGTACAATTTGTGAAGCCCATTTCTGGTGTCCCCTGCCATGATATTGCTGGAATATTGCTAAAAGCGGCGTAAAACCATACTCACCACACCTAAGGATCATGGAAAATTGTTGATAAATGTTGTTTCAGATTTTCTTTTGGTTTTATAAATGGTTTGGTTGGGAATGTGAACACTTCGCCCTTCGCCCTTGGGTTTTCCCCTCCCCATTAAGCCTACATCCTCAGAGCTATGTTTTATCCTTAACATATTCCTTGGGTCACTAAAATAAATGACATTTTCCAAAGTTTTATTTATGTTTGTCACCATTACAGACCATTGTATTGTTCAGTTTTTGCTTCACTGCTTACAGTAGCTTATAAAAATGGTTCTCTTTGTTACAGTGGCACTATTTACATTAGTTTGAGAGACCTCAGGAAGTTGTGTCAGTAAGCTGCTTACACCAAGTGACCCGGGGACTGCTATGCTGCTGACTCTACTGAACAGCAAGACCTACGGCTCCATGATTCCCTCCATGGGCTAACTCAAAGAGATCTCCATGGGCTGCTTCAAGGCACAGTGACTCCAGAGATCTCCATGGGCTGCTTCAAGGCATGGGGACTCCAGAGATCTCGATGGGCTGCTTCAAGGCATGGGGACTCCAGAGATCTTGATGGGCTGCTTCAAGGCATGGGGACTCCAGAGATCTCGATGGGCTGCTTCAAGGCATGGGGACTCCAGAGATCTCGATGGGCTGCTTCAAGGCATGGGGACTCCAGAGATCTCGATGGGCTGCTTCAAGGCATGGGGACTCCAGAGATCTTCATGGGCCACTTTAATGCACAGGGACTCCAGAGATCTTCATGGGCTACTTCAAGGCACGGGGACTCCAGAGATCTTCATGGGCCACTTCAAGGCACAGGGACTCCAGAGATCTTCATGGGCCACTTCAAGGCACGGGGACTCCAGAGATCTTCATGGGCTGCTTCAAGGCACAGGGACTCCAGAGATCTTCATGGGCTACTTCAAGGCACGGGGACTCCATTAGATCTTCATGGGCCACTTCAATGCACGGGGACTCCAGAGATCTTCATGGGCTACTTCAATGCACGGGGACTCCAGAGATCTTCATGGGCTACTTCAAGGCACGGGGACTCCATTAGATCTTCATGGGCCACTTCAATGCACGGGGACTCCAGAGATCTTCATGGGCTACTTCAATGCACGGGGACTCCAGAGATCTTCATGGGCCACTTTAATGCACGGGGACTCCAGAGATCTTCATGGGCTACTTCAAGGCATGGGGACTCCATTAGATCTTCATGGGCCACTTTAATGCACGGGGACTCCAGAGATCTTCATGGGCCACTTCAATGCACGGGGACTCCATTAGATCTTCATGGGCCACTTCAATGCACGGGGACTCCAGAGATCTTCATGGGCCACTTCAAGGCACAGGGACTCCAGAAATCCTTGTGGGTTTACTTAACGCACAGTGACTCCAGAGATCTTCATGGGCCACTTCAAGACACGGTGACTGCAGAGATCTTCATGGGCCACTTAAAGACACAGTGACTGCAGAGATCTTAATTGGCCTCTTAAAGACACAGGGACTGCAGAGATCTCCATGGCCACTTAAAGACACAGGGACTGCAGAGATCTTCAGGCGCCACTTAAAGATACAGTGACTCTAGAGATCTCCATGGGTTTACTTAACACACAGGGACTGCAGAGATCTTCATGGGTTTACTTAACACACAGGGACTGCAGAGATCTTCATGGCCACTTAAAGACACAGGGACTGCAGAGATCTTCAGGCGCCACTTAAAGACACAGTGACTCTAGAGATCTCCATGGGTTTACTTAACACACAGGGACTGCAGAGATCTTCATGGGTTTACTTAACACACAGGGACTGCAGAGATCTTAATGGGCCTCTTAAAGACACAGGGACTGCAGAGATCTTCATGGCCACTTAAAGACACAGGGACTGCAGAGATCTTCAGGCGCCACTTAAAGACACAGTGACTCTAGAGATCTCCATGGGTTTACTTAACACACAGGGACTGCAGAGATCTTCATGGGTTTACTTAACACACAGGGACTGCAGAGATCTTAATGGGCCTCTTAAAGACACAGGGACTGCAGAGATCTTCATGGCCACTTAAAGACACAGGGACTGCAGAGATCTTCATGGCCACTTAAAGACACAGTGACTCCAGATATCTCCATGGGTTTACTTAACACACAGGGACTGCAGAGATCTTCATGGCCACTTAAAGACACAGTGACTGCAGAGATCTTCATGGCCACTTAAAGACACAGTGACTGCAGAGATCTTAATGGGCCTCTTAAAGACACAGTGACTCCAGAGATCTTCATGGCCACTTAAAGACACAGTGACTGCAGAGATCTTAATGGGCCACTTAAAGACACAGGGACTCCAGAGATCTTCATTGGCCTCTTAAAGACACAGTGACTACCAGAGATCTCCATGGGTTTACTTAACACACAGTGACTCCAGAGATCTCCATGGGTTTACTTAACACACAGTGACTACCAGGGACATACCAACCTGATTCTGTTGGTGTGAAAAAAAGACTGTTGACAAGGAAACCATTTGTTGTGTATTGGTTGCTATTCTGAACCTGAATGGCAATCACTTGTTGAAATATTTACAGACAACCATGACTTACAATGAACACTTTGTGTAGACTGTGATATCTTGAAACTCCCCACCAGCCCGACCACCACCTCGTGGTCAAATATAAAGTTCCTGCTTTGCGATTTTCCGAAGGTACACAACTGATGAAGTCACATGTCTTGGTGGCGTTACAGTTGTGGTAACCATGGTGACGAGATCATTGAACCGTGTATGTTGTGTAGTGGGGGCTATGCTGAACTGAAATGGCAATCGCTTGTTGGCTCAGTGAAACCATGACCCAGAAACAGTGACCTTTTGTTGACTATGATTTTCTGAAACCATCAACCAGCTTAATGTCGGATGGTTTCAAAGTTCGTTGTTAGGTTTAAAAAAATAATAGAATAGGTCCTCAGGCAATGACTTTTGAAAATATTGTGCAGGCAGGCAGTGTTTTTTTGTTGTTTTTGCTTGTTCAAACTAGTATGTAAACCAAATAAACAGTTGTGTACCATCAGCCTGGGAAAGGGCCTCCCTGCATAAACAAGCATACAAACTCCTATTGCCGCCATGACCATAACACTAGATGTGCAGTAAAGCAGTGAGCATGTAAAGAGAAGGAACCGCGTGCTATATTGGACCGCATTGTTTTTAAGTTCCGGGTATTAGGATTTTTAAAAATAAGATATAAATGAAAAAAAAACAACGTGCGACAGACTTTATGATGATGCGGCGCGGTGCCTGAGAACCAAGACTATTATTTTTTTTAGATAACCGAGTTTGTGCAAATATCACTTCATGCGCACCAGTGTATTACGTCATTCGGATGTCATTGTTGATATCATTCAAATCTTCTTGTGACGTAAGTCGGAATGATGTCACACTAGAAACAATGTCATTGATGAAGAATGTTGATGTAATTCGACCATTGTGATTTTCTAAGACGCCGATCATGATCAGTGCTAAAGAGGAGCTCAAAAGGATCTAGAAATGATGGGTGATACTGAAATTATTACATTCACATGTGTGTCATACTGATCTTACAAAACTTATGTAAGAATTAATTTATTTCCCTCGCCCTCGGGAAATACAAGAATTCTGATACTTTATTCATATCAGCATGACACACAGGCTTGTATAATAATCTCTCTGTATATAAATATTTCCCAAACAGTTCTTTTCATATCTCATTGTGAAAGTCAGCTTGTGGAACTACCAAACAATCTTAAACCTTAATGTAGCTTTTTGCATCCAGAACATCACCGTCGCCAAATGCCTTTGTCATGTGTTAGTATTGTTAAATAATTTACATGTCAAGTGCCAGCACAATTACTGACTTCTGTGTTACCAGTCAGTTTCAATATGGAAGATACCTGGGAGTGTACTACTTTCTTTGACACAAATATTAATTTAAGAATGCAGTGTTTTAGAAAATGCAATTAAAACCAAACAACTACATCTATGCATATAAGCTATGGCCATTTTATCAGAGCCAATTTATCTGTTATTTTCAGAGTCAGGTCTGCCTTCCTGTTTTGCTATTGTTTGTATTCTGGTGTCCCCCGCCGTGATATTGCTGGAATATTGCTAAAAGCGGCGTACAACCATACTCACTCACTCACTCACTATTGTTTGTAACCAAAATAGGTGGTCTGGAAACTACCATTGTTTTAATAGTATCATTGTAATGTCCTGCATTAAGGTGTCGGGAATTTTGCCAGTGTTTGCAGGGATCTCATCAAGTGCAAGCAGTGTTGAGGAATGCCTGTGTTTTAATTAATTTAGCTGAATGATTAGAAAAGGAAAAAAATATTTAGTTATTTTTAAGATGTTCTTTAATGTCATCATATCCCAATTATGTAGATCGATGCTCATGGTGTCAATCACTGGATTGTCTTTCCAGACTTGATTATTTACAGACCGCCACCATATGCTGAGTGCGGCATTAACCAACAAACAATGTTGGTAATATGTTGTTTGGTCTGTGAAAATACAGTAAAATAACAAAAAAAAATTACCAAGAGTTACCCAACGGTGCTTTTTAATCCTATTTATTTGTGATATGTATGTATGTGTGTGTGTGCGTGCGTGCGTGCGTGCGTGCTTGGTGTTTTACTTGTTCTCATAGTGTTTATCACATGTTTCTACAGGAAACTAGAAAGAGCTCCTTGTATAGCAATTGCAGCTGTTGATAGAATGTGACAAGGTTAATATCAAATCGATGTATGGGTGCTGTCAAATTGAGATTATCTTTAATAAATATATATATATTACGAAGTATTTTCATATGTATATCTTTGTGTGCATGTTTGTCATCAAAATAGTTGTTGTTTCCCAATTAATTAAGCGTATATTTGAAACTAAAAATGTAATTTAAAAAAAAATCCCATTTGCCTTTTTTAGCCTTGTCATAGTGTTTGTATGATTTGTGTAATGGAATACTATATATGTCACAGATGCCATCCATTATGATTTTGGTGAGACGTTGATAAATTGCACCAAATTCTGCCAATATGATAATATGAAATATATCACAAGTTTTGTCAAAAACATCACCAGTGGTATTGATTAGTATTGATGTGTCAGAGTGGTTGTGCACATCTTCCCGAGGCAAGTGAGTTAACAGACTATAAAAGTCCAGTTTCCACCTTTGCCTGGCTTGAATTCCTGGGCCCGATTGTAGCGCCACCTGTGGCTATTACGAGTTATGTCCCTTCTATGCTTCTCCTTTGGACCAATCAGATTCCACCTCTCGTATCACTTGCATTTGCTTGTAACAAAATGGCGATGCCCAGTCAAAACGATCTGATCGATAATCAGGATCTATATTGTGATAAAACCAGTCTTACATCGCGAAGTGCATCAACTCACGGGACCATCTTGATTAAGAACATGAAAAGATTTGGAAAATATCTGTTAGACATGAGTTGGTGGTGCACATGCTTTTCAAATCCTGCAATCAACCGAAATCAGCATGACAGTTTACGAACCGGATTTCGATTTCGTTGCGCGATTTTGATTGGACTATGCATTGACTCGTTAGTTCAGCCAAAATGTAACTCCATAATACCAGCCTAGTTCAGCAAGCGTGGAAACTGGACTTTTAAAGTCAGTTAACTCTCTTGTCTGGGGAAGAAGATTGGTTGTGGGTGAAAGCAGAAAGCATGCTGGTATGAATCACATATGTTGACATGACTGTGTATGGCGGTTACATCATACGTTTATTGAAACAAACTCTTCATAGGGCTGGTTGTAATAGCATAGAATGAAGGTTATATGATTACTACCCAAAACTAATTTAATGTGAATTTTGTTAAATATTGCTTCTATTTGTCCCTGCTGAAAAGCCTACTTCTGAGGTTTGGTAAATAAATATACTACTCCAAAGATGTTAAAGAACACCAAATGTTTTCATATGACTGATGGTTGATCTGACCTTGATCTGAATGCCTGTACCTTATTCTGGTGAGAATATGAATTATTAATGTTCAAGTTTGCATGTTATTTTCATTTTTAGTAGCTGTTGTACATCATGTAGATTCCTATGTCGACTATTTTTCAACCAAATGTTGAGTTTACTTTATATACGCATATTAAGGCTGCATAGTAAGAATAATGTGATAGGAAGTGACTATGCTGAGTGTTTCATGATTGAATGTGTGTATTTAGTATGTGGGGACATTGGCCCAGTATGCAAATTTCTGTGCTGAGTTGTAACCCTTAGGTGTGCAAGGATCCTAAGATCCCAGGTGTGCAATGATCATGATCCTTGGTCTGTCGGCACCACACCTTGCTCGTAGGTTTGACCAAAGTTGTATACGCTTGATACCTGTATCCTGTCAGACTTTACTCCCACATCAAGCTGACATGCCGTGATATCATTTCCTACCCAAGAGGCTGAAGTTGAAGCTTTTTTTTTGTGGCACTAAACTTGTTTCGGGGAAAAATCCAGATTGTACAAATGTTTAAGACTATTGTCAGCATGAAGCTGAACAAATGTAAGAAGTGTATCAGCATAATGGATCTGTGATTTGATCATGGCGGTAAAAAGAAAAATATGTTGTTGTTTTTCAATAATGTTTGGATACATAAACTTTAAAATGTTACAGCATTTCTATATGGTGTTTTGATATCCGAATTAGGATAGCCTGATAATGAAAATATGTTAACAGTTCTGTAAGAATTAAGATCTTGTGAAAATTGCAGTGTTTTCCTGAAGTAACTGCTTCTTCTCTCTGAATGTTAAAAGTTGATTACATGATGTAAATATTGTTCCTATTATGATGTCCATCATTTGTTTTTGACACTGAAAGTATACCATGTTTATATTTGGTATTTTGTTTGTTGTTTATGTTTATCAGCTAGGAGAGGCGACTGGGATCGGGTGGTCGGCTCGCTGACTATGTTGATGCACGTCATCATATCCCAATGGCGTAGATCAGTGCTCAATTGGGACATGACATGCATCAACCAAGTCAGCGGGCCTGACCACCCAATCCAATGCTTGACCCCTGAAGATCTGGGGTAGAATAGGTCTTCAGCAACCCATGCTTGTTGTAAGAAGCAACTATGCTTTTCGTAAGAGGCAACTAACGGATCGGTGGTCAGGCTCGCTGACTTGGTTGATGCATGTCATCCATCCCAATTGTGTGGATCAATGCTCATGATATCAATCACTGGATTGTCTGGTCCAGACTCGATTATTTACAGACCGCCGTCATATAGCTGGAATATTGCTGAGTGCAGCGTAAAACAACCAACCAACCAATAACCAAACCTTATCTATGGTTATCAGAACACAAACAGCTACACATTCTAATTACAATTCAGTCGGCTAATACATGGTATCCATTTTACGGTCGTGTAAATCTTCCTGTCCGTCCACGTTAGTCTGACTGATAAAGCTAGTTATGGTGGGAGTCCAAGACATGTTAACGTTCTCCGACACAACTAATGTCGCTGCCATAGAGCGTTGATCACAGCTATCAAGCTACCATTCATTCTTTCCGTCATCACAACGCAATGGTCCCTTAAAACCTATCCAGCCCTCGTTCTCAAGTCATTATACAGCGATTAATGTATGATAAAACAACATGATAAAAAACAAGGTCAAAGACATTTTGTCTTGAGTAACCCTCCGAGAGAGATAGTTCCACAGCGGAAACGTCCATCAATGACTCGTCAATTGCACGAAGAGATTCTCCCAGAGTATCCAGGCCCCTGATTATACAAATATACTACTCAAAAGAAGTTTAAGAACACCCGATTCTTTCATATTACTATAGTTAATCTGTCTTGGCATGTGAGATTAACTATAGTAATATGAAAGAATTGGGTGTTCTTTAACTTCTTTTGAGTAGTATATATAATATTAACGTCTTGACATTGACTTAAACAAAGGTACAAGGAAAAAAAGAAGAAGAAAAAGAAAAGACAAAATGTCATTTTTTACTCTCAAATAGGTATAAATTCGAAATTACAGCGAAGTATTATGTTCGATTTATCCGTATCACTCTGGTCCATAAGGGGCGGCCGGGTAGCCTAGTGGTTAAAGCGTTCGCTCGTCACGCCGAAGACCCGGGTTCGATTCCCGACATGGGTACAATGTGTGGAGCCCATTTCTGGTGTCCCCCGCCGTGATATTGCTGAAATATTGCTAGAAGCGGCGTAACTCTGGTCCATAAAATGTAGCCGTTCCAATAAAAGAATGTTACTGTAGCGATCCGTTGCCTTAATCTCAGATGAACGAGCCCAAAACTATGTCAGAATTCATAATTAAGTATTTAATATTGATAACAACGAGGGATTTGCTTCTTGGATACCTTCTCTTTACTCTAAAACGAATTAATCATAAAGATGTTGTTTTTGAAATGAGATATAAAGCAATTTGTGCACAAATTGAGAGATGAAAACGTGAAGAGTTCGTCTTATGCTGACTTTATTATAACACAAAGGTAAGGATTCATTTTTAGAACTTCAATAAATATTAAACAATACTTATTTTAACGATATCTGTAGAAAATATAAACCTTTTTACACTTAAAATGAAGTATGGACAGCTTAAACTTAGCACCAGTGAAACTTTGGCGGCCACGTGGGTGACAATGCCTTCCGTTGCTAGGGTTGCCTTCATTTACCAACGGCGCGTATTTCAGGGTGTGTGACAGCCGTCGTCTCCGAAATTATTATCTTCGAACCATCAATCAGAAACGCGAAGAAGGATATTCATGAGCGTGTTCTCCTAGATACGACGTGGGTTGGTTGGTTGGTTTGTTGTTTAACGCCGCACTCAGGAATATTCCAGCTATATGACGGCGGTCTGTAAATAATCAAGTCTAGACCAGACAATCCAGTGATTGATATCATGAGCATCGATCCACGCAATTGAGATCAATGACATGCATCAACCAAGTCAGCGAGCCTGACCACCCGATCCCGTTAGTCGCCGTTTACGAAAAGCATAGTCGCCTTTTACGGCAAGCATGGGTTGCTGAAGACCTATTCTACCCCGGAATCTTCACGGGTCCGACGTGGGTAAATGCCTCTCACACAGCCAGCGGGCATTGGGTACCCCTTGGGGACTGTAAGGAGTCTGGGACCAATGGTTAAAGGTGAAAGTCTTTTCGTTCTCCATTCTGGCTGTGTCAATCAGGGTTTTCTCCCAGGCTGTGACCTCTTCTTTCGAGCCAAGGGTAGGGACAACACGGAGTGCCACACAGGAATGAACGGCAAGGTATTTCTGGAGTGGGTGAAAAATATATTGGTCCCTGCTTTGCCTGCCAAATCCCTTATTATCACGGACAACAGCGACTTGTGCCCCTTGCCGGGCCATTTTTGCAACTAGGTTCCGCCTAAGCGCAAACGGGCATAGGTAAAAGAATTGTCAACGCGTTGCATACTAATTCACGCATATTCCCCCAATATGTCGTTTATATTCCAGATGCTATCGAAAATATCGGGACTTACAGTATTATACAGTATGACTGAACACATTTAACGGTACCTTTTAAATGCAACACATGTAAAATCATTAATTATTCCTTAAGGATTCTTTGACCGAAGTACTTGAAGTCATACGCGCGTTCTGATTGGTTTGTCGTATTTTCGTACACAACAGGGGGACGAGTCTTCATTCAGTTTACGGAAAGGGACGAATGCCCGTGTATGTGGTTGACAATTACATGAAAGGTCAAGATCACGCCGTCTTACGACTTTCCCCTCACCACTGCGACCTGAATCCAATTGAGTTGATGTGGGGTATCGTCAAAGGTGGCGTTGGTTGATTGCACACAACGTGAGACCCGTGAAGATCCGGGGTAGAATAGCTCTTCTGCAATCAATGCTTGCCGTAAAAGGCAACTCTGCTTTTCGTAAAAGGCGACTAACGGGATCGGGTGGTCAGGCTCGCTGACTTGGTTGATGCATGTCATCGATCCCAATTGCGTGGATCGATGCTCATGATATCAATCACTGGATTGTCTGGTCCAGACTCGATTATTTACAGACCGCCGTCATACAGCTGTAATATTGCCGAGTGCGACGTTAAACAACAAACAAAGAACAATGTGAAGTTGAACAGCCTGTAAATGAATCCCTTGGTCGGGTAACAGTGGAGACATGGCAGCGTTGCGTTACCAAAGTCGTCAACGAGATAGAGTCAAGAAACTGGTCACGTGGTGGACTTCAGCAAGCAACTGACCCACCTATAGTCGTGACCATCAGCAGTGACGCAATCAATTCCGACGACGAGGGCTGTGACAAGTGCAAGTCAGATTGCGATTAATATTATTATATTATATATCTATATCTATATATATCACTTCCACTTCCAGTGAATCTTATTAATAGTCCCGGAGAGAATTAGTGACACACGACATTACCAACAGTCGCAGGTGACCGGATGTGTCACGACTTTTAGCACCGTTCACCTATTTGACCCCCCAGGAAACGCCTTGGAGAGTAATCTTGTAGGTGATTTATTCCAGTCAAAAGAATGCAGCCATACTTGAGTTCATGTAAACTGTGTTGATGCCAGTTGATATCCATATATCAGTAGACCTATGGAATGTACATTTTAATTCAAACTCAATTCCTTGAGAAAACTATACATTTGTTTTAGAGTTGATTTAGAAAATTATAAAAATATAAATAACCCTGAAGCAAGACGGATAGTATTGGAAAAAATAGAATCGTTAAATATGATAGATATATGGAGAGAACTCAATAAAGACAAAGAAGTTTACTTGGTGGAAGAAAAACCCAAGACAACCAGCTAGGCTTTATTCTTTTTAGTGTCTGAAGATATAAGAAATATGTCATTGGAAACAAATATTTTACCCAGATATAAAAACGACCACTCCGTCATAACGTTATCGTTCTCCAATACAATTAATCAAGAAAGAGGACGCGGATATTGGAAATTAAATACTTCACTTCTATTAAATAAAGATTATACAGATTTAGTTAAAACAATTATAGAAGAAACTAAAAAAGAATATTCTGAGAATAGTGATAGTGAACAAAGTGAGTTAGACATCAAACTTAAAATAGATGACACTTTATTTCTTGAAACCCTCTTAATGAAAGTTAGAGGGAAAACAATTTCATTTTCTTCATTCATTAAAAGAACCAAAATCAATCAAACAAAAGAATTAGAAAGTAAGATAAGCGATTAAGAAGATGACATAAGGCGAAATTTTCAACAAATAGACGAAAGACACCTATCCGAATTATCAAAATGCAAATTAGAAATGGAACATATAAAAGAAGTGGAAATAAGAGGAATACAAATTAGAAATAGAATGCAATGGTATGAGGAAGTAGAAAAACCAACAAGTTATTTCTGCCACTTAGAAAATAGAAATTGTCAGTAAATTAATTAATAAAGTTATGACTGAAGATGATACGGTAATAACAGACGGCAATTGTATATTGGATGAATTAAGAAACTTTTATAAAAATACTTCTCATAGCAAGGACAGAAGCTACGAAAATTTAACAAGTTTAGAGACTCCAACATTAAGCAACCAAATGAAAAACTTATTGGAAAGAGAAATTGAGCTTTAAGAAATTTCATTGGCAGTTAAAAACATGAAAAACAATAAAAGTCCCGGTATTGATGGCTTTCCTATTGAATTTTTTAAGTTTTTCTGGAAAGAACTTAAATTCTGGATATACAGATGCTAATAACAAAATGAGTATGACAATGAAAAGAGGAGTTATAACTTGTATACCAAAATCAAACAAAGACAGAACATTGATAAAAAACTAGAGACCAATAACTTTATTGAATGTACTCTATAAAATAATAAGTACTTGTATTGCAAACCGTATAA